GATCTCAAAAGTCTTGTAAGACCATTACAAATAGAATCCTCCATCTATTTAGGGCTTGAAATACTAAGTACTAAGTTTTCTGGGACAGGAAGGTTATAACTGTGTTTATATATCCCTACCTATAAACCAGGCTGGCCTTGAACTCAGATCTGCCTGCCTCTGCCTCCCAAGTGCTGAGATGAAAGGCATGGACTATCACCACCTAGCACATACAGTTGCATTATAACCTCTGGGCTTTTTTTTTTCTTTTTTTTTTTTTTTACCCTCATTGGCCCACTGATGGCAAGATGAGTAGCTAGCAGCTCTACTGGTAGTCACTCATGGAAGTTCAGCCTGATATCTTTTGCCAGGTGGGCTCCAACTCTTAACTGCCACAGACTGACCTGGAAATTAGGCCTGAGCATGTACTGGTGATGTTTGAATCACTGGAAGGACAAGACTTAATTAAATTGGACCAAGTGATGTTTGAGTGGATTATTCATGACCCATCTACTAAGGAAAAGAGATCCTTCCTGTAAATCGGTATGTAAAAATTGGACCAAGTGGTGGTGGTGCACACCTTTAGTCCCAGCACTCAGGAGGCAGAGGCAGGCAGATCTCTGAGTTCGAGACCAGCCTGGTCTACAAGAGCTAGTTCAAGGACAGCCTCCAAAGCCACAGAGAAACCCTGTCTTGAAAAACAAAAGAGAAGACCTTAAGGGCTAATAATCTGAGGTGTCCTGAAGAACTTGCTGCAGCAGGAAGAATTGACAAGATAGCAGTAGCACCAGGGAGACACCTGTAGGTATCTTTTTTTTTTTTTTTTTTTTGGTTCTGTGTGTGTGTGTTGTGTGTATCTTTTTTTTGGGGGGGGGGAGACACCTGTAGGGAACACATGTCATTAGGCCTAGAAGAACTGACAAGGGTGCCAACATAAGGACCTCCATCAAAATTTGTCTTTGGGAAAGCAGGAAATAGGTCTGCAAACTGAAATCTTCCCACTCCCAACTTCCCTTTTATGGCATCAAGTTCCCAGTGCACAGTCTCCAGAGAGACTACCACATTCATCCTGATTAAACAATATGCCTCTGTAGAGATTGATCCCCTCTTATTTTCACAGATCCAAAGCAAACAAAATTACCCACAACCCATAAGGGAGTCCAAAGATCCAGAAATGAACTCAACCTGGACTATAGGAGGATTTCTGTGCCAGATGAAAGCCTGCATTCCTTAGGAATTTGGGAAACTAGTCCCCTTCAACCAAAAGGAGTCTATTTTCTTTACCTCTGGCCAAAGGGACTTTTGGCTACCTTTGGTACTTATCAGCATATCAAAGCACATGTTGGAATCACAAGTATCTGTACACAATACAAAGTTCATTCTAGCCCTTCCCACCTTCTCCCCTGCTTTAAAACTGCCTCCAGCTCAAGCCTGCCCCCATCTGCTACCTCTTATAACTCTGCTATTCTTGCTATGTTTGCTCTATGCTCTGCTCCTGCTATTCTATGTTTTCTCTATTCTCTTTCCCCTATTCTCCCCTCTCCTTGCAGATAGCCCTGGTGATGTCATTTGTTAGCCATATTCTGTTCAGTATACTGTCTTTGCTCTGGACTCTTCCAAATGCCACTGACTGTTCTCTCCCTCGTATCCCCAATAAAAAGCTTCCTCTCAGTCATACTATGGACTTATCACCAGTTTATAGACTAACAAGACCTTAAAAAAAATCATTGGGAGCCGGGCGGTGGTGGCGCAGGCCTTTAATCCCAGCACTCCAGAGGCAGAAGCAGGTGGATCTCTGTGAGTTCGAGGCCAGGGTGAACCGACAGCCTCCAAAACAATACAGAGAAACCCTGTCTCGTAAAAACCAAAAAAAAAAAAAAAATCATTGGGAGTGAAACTTTGGTGTTGGAACTTCTTGCAAGTCATCCAGTAAGTAATGTCCCCCCATCTTATTTTAGTTAACTGGTTTTTGAGAGGGTTTCAAAGTGTACCCTCAGCTGCCCTGGAACTCATTCCATAGACCAGACTGGCCTCCAACTCTTTTTTTTTTTTTTTTTTTTTTTTTTTTGGTTTTTTTTCGAGACAGGGTTTCTCTGTATTGTCTTTGTCCTGGAACTCGATTGGTAGACCAGGCTGGCCTCGAACTCACAGAGATCCACCTGCCTCTGCCTCCTCCCAAGTGCTGGGATTAAAGGCTTGTGCCACCAACGCCTGGCTTGGCCTCCAACTCTTAAAGATATTTACCTACTTCTGCCTCCTAAGTGCTGGAACTAAAGGCATTTGCCACCACTGCCCAACTCAACTTTTGACTAGTGTGTATGAAGTCCTGAGTTTAATACGCAACACCACTAAAAAAGATTTTTTTAAAAATGTAACCGAGGAATAGGAGGGTTGGAGGGGGGCCGGGGAGGAGGGGAGGGAGAGAAGGCTGGGATTGACATGTGAAACTTGTTTCGAATTTAAATTAAAAAAAAAAACTTAAAGGAAATGGCCACTAATTTAAAACTGTACAGACTTCATTGATTTCCTTTCACTTGTGTGTTATCTGAAATAAATGGAGACTATGTCATTCTCTCATTAAAAAAAAATACAGCTGAGCCGGGCGTTGGTGGCACAAGCTTTTAATCCCAGCACTTGGGAGGCAGAGGCAGGCGGATCTCTGTGAGTTCGAGGCCAGCCTGGTCTATAAGAGCTAGTTCCAGGACAGCCTCCAAAGCCACAGAGAAACCCTGTCTCGAAAAAAAGAAAAATACAGCTGGGCAGTGGTGGCCTATGCCTTTAAATCCAGCACACCTGAAGTAAAGGCAGGCAGATCTTAGTGAGTTCAAGGCCAGCATGGTCTACAAAGTGTCCAGGATAGCCAGGACTGTTATACAGAGAAACCCTGTCTTGAAAAAAAAAACAAGTCTAGTTTCTTCTCTACTGCTTGTAGGGTGAATTGCCTCAAGGTATCACATCAAAATAAAACCATCTCCATTCTCAAAACTTTTCCATATCCCATTAATTTCAAATCACCACTTATTTGACCAGTTTAAGTATGAACCCTAACAATACTACATATTTTCTCTCAATACCTTTAACCAACACACATTCACCTCTTTTTTTTTTTTTTAATGTATTATGTAGACAATCTTCTGCCTGCATGCCAACAGAAGGCAACAGACCTCATTTAAGATGGTTCTGAGCCACCATGTAGTTACCGGGAATTGAACTCAGGACCTCAGGAAGAACAGTCAGTGCTCTTAACCGCTGAGCCATCTCTCCAGCCCCTGCATCCATCTCTTTTATCTTTTAAATATATCTATTTTTTCCCACCACTATTGCTGCTATAATCCAAGCTTGCTTTCCCTACCCCCTTTCAGTGAGGGATTGCAAACACTCTGGGCCATCATACAAATCAGAAAAGTTCAACTCCCGAGCTGCAACCTCTAGGACCCCACCTTCACCCAGTCCCTACAAGCTACAATTTTCTTATTATGAAAACCTATCGCGGGGCGTTGGTGGCGCGTGCCTTTAATCCTTGGACCCCAGACGGACAGCTGGGAGGCCAGCATGGGACCGATCCAGACCCCCTGAATGTGAGAGTCAGTAAGGAGGCCTGGGCTACCTATGGGGTCCTGAGCAGTGGATCGGTGTTTATCCCTCGAATACTAACAGGCATCGTGTGTCCATAACACAAAGAAGGTTGCTCTCTCTGCCTGGACTCTTAGGGAAGTGCCTGGACCCTTACCCTGAGTGAAATGATAGACTCTAGATATCCCCTATGCGGAAGGAAATGGCAATAGGATGGGAGGATGGGGGGGAGGGTGCGGGGGTGTGGAAGGAGGGGAGGGGAGAGGGAACTGGGATTGATACGTAAAACAAGCTATTTAAAATTAAAATAAAAATCCCAGCACTCGGGAGGCAGAGGCTGGCAGATCTCTGTGACCTCGAGAGACCAACATGGTCTCTCGAGCTAGTTCTAGGACAGCCTCCAAAGCCACAGAGAAACCCTACCTCAGAAAGAAAACACAAAAGACAAAACGAAAATCTATCAATCTGTTTGCTAGACTCATTGTTTTATCTCGTTTGTTCGCCATCCTTAATACTATCTTGTCAAAAGGCAAGTTTGCTGTTACAGACCATCTATTCAAAATGTTTACATGACTTTAGCTGGTAGACAGTGCAGAAGAAGTTGGCTAATGTTCCATATTCATCTTACTACACTTTGCTTTCCCAACCTACCCACTGCTTTTATCTTCATTTTCTCCTCTACCCTGGCCACCAATTTGCCCACTTAGTCTTTCACTAAGTCTTTCATTTCAGTTCCTGTTCTTCCCTTCACTGACAGACACCAACAGGGTATTCTTTTCCCTTTTTTTATTCTTTTATAAGTTGGGAGAATAGACAGGATACCTCATGTGGCCCAGGCTTGCCACACTGTCTCTGAGGAAGGCCTTGAATTCCTGATCCCAAATATGCCACAACTGACCAGACTATTATTGTTTCTTTGTTACACGTTATAATTACCTATGTTGTTAACATGTGATGACGAATATCCATTCAAACCCCGCACAACAAGAAAGCAGAAACATTTGTAATTATGGTGTTTTACTTTTTTTTGTCCCTGATTAGATTGAGTTCATGAGGGCAGATATTAGCACTCTGGTTCTAGAGAAGGGTCTGACTCATTAAAGGCAATGAATATATATCGAATGAATGGATTATGAACCTAAGGCAGCCTCCTCAGAGAAATCTAAAACAATGTAATGACCTAATTTTACTTACATTCATTTTAAAAATGAAACAAGCACAATAAAATTAAGTGGCTTGAGCACAAATGTCGTCTGCGGCAAAGCTAGAGTTCCTGTTATCTCTTTTTGACGAGGAGCAAACGCACCACAATGCGTCATAAACCAAGTATCCGGCTCTGATTCTTCAGCTTCGGACGCCTAACAAGGACAACCCATATTGTTTTAACTCATTCGGAATCGTTTCGAAAAGGATCAATCCCAGTGTGCAATGCAAACAATCCGTCCAGTCGCTTAGAAACCACATATCCCAGGATGCCACGCTCCAAAACTCTGTTGGAAGGAGGCTTGAGGGAGGCCATGGCATTCTGGGAGTTGTAGTCTTGTGCAGGTCCCGCCCCTAGAGCGGCTTTGGAGGCCTGCGTGTGGAGAAAAGCCTCTAGGGAGAGCGGTGTCGCCCTACAACCTTCGCCCCCTGCCCTCGAATCTTTCCCACAACCCAAAATGGCCGCTGGTGTGGATTTTGGCGACCTAGAGCTATTCGAAGCGTTTGACCCTCAAGAGGAGTCGACCCCGAAGCCGGTTCACACCCGCTTCAAGGACGACGACGAAGACGAGGACGACGACGACGATGAGAATGGGGTGGGGGACGCGGAGCTACAGGAGCAGCTTCGGCACTGTGAGGAAACCATCCAAAAACTCCGCGCCGAGAATATCCTTCCGGCTCGTTGGCCCTGTCACCTGGGACTTGGGTCTCTGCGTGCGGGCTCTGGCACAGCGGAAATTCCAAGAGGACCAGCATTCTAAGTCATTTCTCCCGCGGCTCGGCGGGCGGCCCGGCGGGCAGGCGGTCTCGGGCGGGCTGCACTTAGCTGCTGCGCGGCCTGCGCGCAAGCCCTTCCGTGTGAGGCTCCTTCTGCGCAGACCACCCTGGCTGCTCCTTTGGGTAACTTCAGAACCGTAGCTGTTATTTTGCAAACGGTTCCCGACCTCTCTCTGAGGTCTCCGTGTTTTCTTTCTGTGCACAGGTGGAGACAGTCGTGGTGTAGTTTTATGTTTGGAGATGCGGGGGTGTTAGCCTTGTAGTGGGATCCTTGCGGAGGGGCAGAAGCTCGAGTGAGACTTTGCATGCAAAGAGAAAAGGTTAATTGGCCTGATAGTTTTACTTTTCGAGGTCTTCCGCTTTGAGCTAGCTTGCATTGCCGCTAGCGGGGAAAAAAACGCGCCAAATTTCACTTTGACTTTATTAGCATGATTCCAGGTTCTGGGTTTGCTAGTATGTTAACTTTCATTTTTAACTTCATTGAATTTGCATGCACAGGTAGTTTTGGTTCAGGTAACTCTCCTTTTAAAACTGATAATGAATCTTGAGAGTGGTTGATAGGTTAGTTTTTGAAGTTAAAGTCTGATTTTTTTATATACTATTTTCTATGACACTTTATTATGAATATTTATAAAATAATAGAGTTGAGAGGATTGTGCATTTCATATCCATAGATGCAGTCCCATATTTTTGTTAACACTTTTATCATTTATCATGATGCTTTGAAATGAAAATGTTTCCTAATTGACTGCTTCAACTTTTTCCAGAACACCATTGTCTGACATTAGACTGTTTCTGAACTTCAGAGTCATGTCTTTGGAATAGATGTTCAAAGAGCCGAAAACTGTAATGTTACGGTCCAGTTGTCCTGTCCCCCAGCAAAACACGTGCTCAATGTGTCTCCCCCCCAAAATACTTGCACGTCCTTCCTTTACATTTCTAACAGTTGGATAACAAAAGTAAGAGCTGTAGTGGTTGAATTTTATGGCCTACATACTTGTGTTTTTCAATGATTGTTGATATTCCTTAACCAGTGATAACATCAAGAACTTAAAAGAAAATTGAACATTCTGACAAGACCCAGGTATGAGACCTTGAAGTTACACCTGAGATGCCCCTTGCTGTTCATCTTGTTAATCACAGCATCTTTGTAAAGAGGTTGTGGGACTTTGTTGTTGTCATTCATTCAGAATACTATATTGTTGACTTATGGTATAAAGGAATTCTGGCAAGTGGGTTAAACATTTAAATGAATTTAATGTGTCATTTTTCTGATCTAGAAAATTTTGCCTGACTGTTCAGAAAAGCAAGTTAAACCTAGCTGTTCATATTTAACACACTTCTGGGAAGATGAAATAAGTCTACAGTTACTTTAGATAATGATTTCTTTACAGCTTATTACATTATTATTATTATTATTATTATTAGTTGGCTTTGTTTTCTGAGCAGGAGTCAGTTTCTTGAGACAGGGTTTCATCTTGTAGCCCCAACTATACTGGAATTCACTGTGTAGCTTAGACTGGCCTTAAACTTATCGGTCCTTGTTCCTCGGCCTGGAAAGTGCTGGAATTACAGATGCAAGCAACCACACTAGCATTACTTATACAATTGAAACATTTTTTTGAATACAGCCAGGCGGTGGTGGCGCACATCTTTAATCTCAGCACTCAGGAGGCAGAGGCAGGTGGATCTCTGTGAGTTTGAGACCAGCCTGGTCCACAAAGTGAGTTCCAGGACATCTAGGGCTACACAGAGAAACCCTGTCTTGGAAAACTTTTTGAAAAAATTATAAATACAGACAGTGCAAAGAATAGCATTTTTTGTTGTTGACAGTCTCATTGTTGCCTAAGCTGCCTTACCTCACAGTGAGGCTAAGGGTGACCTTGAACTGCCGATCCTCCTGCCTCCCCTTCTTGCTGGGAATATACCCTGGTACCACCAAGTTTGACAAAGCCTAGCATGTTAGGAGAAGAATAGGTAATGCGCTTTTGAGAAAGTACAGCATGTAGGCATGTATTCAGACATGGTCATAACAAATATACTAAGTGCTGGCATCTCTATGAATTTAACAAGTTAATTTTTATTTTATTCTTGAGTCAGGGTCTCACTTTGTGGCCTTGGCTGGCTTGGAACTCACTTTATATATATATATACCAGCCTGGTTTCTAACCCAGCTGCTGCTTTTTCCTGAGTGCTGGCATTAAAAACATGTGGCACCACTCGCAGCCTAAAGTACTGATTTATGTGGAATGGTTGGTTCTTCCTCGTTTTCTCCTTCATTTCTCCATCCCTTCCTTTTTTTCTTTCAGCAGAGTCTGTGTATGTAGCCCAGGCAGTTCTCAAACTCATGGCATGCCTCCTGCCTTAACTTCCCAAGTGCTGACATTATAGATAGGAGTTGTGTCCCATTGAAGAATTTTCAGGCTTTGGAACTGGGATGTTTGTTGCTCTGTGCTTTTTGTTGTTTGTTCATGTACTGGCTTGGATGTGACTAAATTTTCAGGTAGGGTCTCATGTAGCCTAAGCTATCCCAGGACTCATTGTGTAGCTGTGCTGATCTTGAACTGTTTATCCTTCTGTCTCTCTCTTCTTCTAAGTCTTGGTATTACAGGCATGCATGCTAGGCAAGCTGTCTATCAGCTGTGCCACTTTGTCAGCTGAGGTCATTTGTGATAGTAGGTTCTCATTCATTAGGTCAGGCTTACCTAGAATTCACACTGGCTCATATTGGCCTTAAACTGGGAGCAGTGCTGCCTACAATTCCTGAGTTTTGTGAATCTTGGATTGTAGTAGTTAAAGCAGTGTGCTTTGCCTCCAGGAGTCTATAATAAAATAAAATGAAAATTCACTTGCTTATGAAGTGTTTGTTTTCTTTTATACTTCCAAACCAAATTCATGTGGAAATGTTTGGAAGTATATTCTTATAACTTGCTTGCTTGTCCTCTTCCCTGATGCCCTGATTTGTAAGGAAAGTAGTCTCTCAAAAAAAACTTCATTAAAAACTAAAAGATGAACCTATGGTTCTTCGAGGGTGTGTGTGTGTGTGTGTGTGTGTGTGTGTGTGTGTGTGTAACTTTTTTTTTTCCTTTTTTTACTGTTGAGATAATTTCTGGGCCAGGTGTGGTAGTACAGGCTGTTAATGATCACTCAGGAAGCAGAAGCAGTAAGTTTCCTGTGCTCTTAAAGCCAAGCCTGATGCACACAATTAATTTCAGGGCTATATAATGAGACCCTATTTCAAAGAAAGACAGTCAGACGGACTTTCTAGGGCTTGAGGCGATAGCTGAATGGTAAAAGTGTTTGCTATAAGCCAGGCATTGGTGGCATACGCCTTTAATCCCAGCACTTGGGAGGCAGAGGCAGGTGGATCTCTGTGAATTCGAGGCCAGCCTGGTCTCGAGATCGAGTTCCAGGACAGACTCCAAAACAATATAGAGAAACCCTGTCTCGGAAAAACAAACGAACAAAAAAGAGTTAGAAAGGTTAGCTGTGTGGTAGTATGTACCTGTGGTCCCAGGACTGGGGTGGCTGAAGTAGAAGCATCCCAAACATGAGGCAAGTAAGGGTGACTGAGGAGACCTTGTCTCAGCAAAAAATAATTGTGATCACAAAGCTCATGTGCTTATAAGTGCTATGTATGTACTTTGATGTCTTCTAAGAATATGTTTAACTTCTGTTTTAGTGGCATACTGGTGAGCAATACCAAGATAGATGGACCCTTATTACAAATTCTGTTTATGAACAATGCTATATCAAAGTAAGTAGTTTTTCTCTTTCCTCATATGTGTTTATGAAGCTGGATTCTGTAAATGTTTGCATTTTTGTTTATATCTTTGTTCTTTTTTATTACAGTTTATTGTGTGCTTGTGTGTGTATGGATACACGTGTCATGTTGGGGGTGTTGTAATTTAAAAACCGTGTGAGAGAAAAGGTGCCATGGGACAGAGCTAACGTGGAAGGTTTTTTATTTGGGAAAAGGCATCTGGAAATGGGAGCAGCAGAAGAGGAAGGGGGGCCCAGGGCCCTTTTAAAAGGGAGCACAGTGAATGTGCACAGGTGGTGCTCTTAGTGACTGCAGCTGAGGGTGTGTCCTGTCAGAACCCTAAGGGTAGGCCAGTACAGTTGCCTGAATACTAACAGCAGGTATGTGGTGGTCAAAGGACAACTTGTAGGAGTCAGTTCTTTTCTTCCCCATGTGGGTCCAGGGCCTTGAACTCAGGTAGTCAGGCTTGGCTGCAGACACCTTTACCTGCTAAGCCATCTTGAGGGGCTCATCTTTATTATTTAATTGCTTCAGGGTTAAAGTATAAACAATCATGGTTTTGAGTAAAAGTATGAGAGTCATGGACCTGAATTTGAGTCTGGACTCCTACATCTGTGAGCAGCTCTTGGTATCTATTAGTTTTCTCACTGGAAAACTGTATGCTAAAATAAATACCTTTCAGGTCCCTAAATGGAATCTGTGAGAGCCCAGGAAGTACCATCTCATAAAAATGCCACCACCACTATAATAACAAGGTTAGCTGTTCCACTCTACCATGTAGATAACAGTTTTCCACATTGGCTGTCTTTGAAGCCTACCCACATGGTTATTTTTGTTCAGTAGCAAAACTTAACTACTGCAAGTCTTCTGGCATGCTTGAGTGCAGGGCTCAGTGTACTCCCCCTGTGGCTTACCCCTCCTGAGTCACTATTGTTGTCTTATGCACTGGCTATGGCAAGAAGATAAAGGAGTAGGGTCCAGGCCCATCACCTGCTTTTGCCTTAGTCCAGGAGTGGAACCCAAAATATTGGGAGCTAGGAGTAGCTTGTGAGTGTGGCAGCAGTAGGAAGTAAGATGCTAGGCCAGCCTGGGCTTGGGTACTGTGGTCCCTAGATGAGAAAGGTGTTAACCTATTCTAGCTCTTAATGGTCTAACTTCAATACCATCCATTATTCCGCATGCAGAATCTTAGCTGCTAGAGCTAGAAAAGATATGGAATGTCAGGTCTGTCTGAGGTCCCTGACTGCCTTGTTCCAGCATAGCAAAACCTGGGCTTCCTTGACACCTGAAGGGATCACTCCAGAATATTTGATCAGTGTAGTTCTTTTTTTTTTTTTTTTTTTTTTGGTTTTTTTGGTTTTTTGAGACAGGGTTTCTCTGTGGCTTTGGAGTCCTAGAACTCGCTCTGTAGACCAGGCTGGCCTCGAACTCACAGAGATCCGCCTGCCTCTGCCTCCCGAGTGCTGGGATTAAAGGTGTGTGCACATCACAGCCCGGCTGGTTATGCCTTTTGTAGTTTTCATGTGAAATGGGTGCTTTCTTAAATGAGTATTGAAGGAAGATAAGGAAAGTATTGACCACATTGGATGTCCCTGTGTTACAGAAATATGAGGAGAAAGGAACCTTTTCATTATGTAACTCTCTTGGTGGATTTTGTTTTCTGGGACAGTGACTTCTCTTTGTAGCCCTGACTGGCCTGAGATTTGCAGCTGTCCTCCCACCTCTGCCTACTTGCCAAATGCGGGGACTGCAGGCATACACCACCATACCAGGTTTTTCTCTTGGGTTTGGAGCCATTCGCATATAATATCTATTAAAGATTAAGTATCTGAAATTTATAATTCTCCCAACTGTTTGAGGTTCTGTGCCGGACACCTATGGATGATCAGAATTGATCGAACTGTTAATGCTGCAACAAACAATACATAGTTTCTTTTTTTTTTTTTTTTTTTTTTGGTTTTTCAAGATTTTCAAGACGGGGTTTCTCTATCCTGGAACTCACTCTGTAGACCAGGCTGCCTCTGCCTTCCAAGTGCTGGGATTAAATGCATGCTCCACCAATGCCTGGCCAATACATAGAGTTTCTAAGAAATAGCATTCTGAGTTACAAAGCCCCTAATGTAACAACCATGAAAAACAAAGTAAAATTGAGCCTTCTTAAACTACTGCAGAGGACTTCATTCTTCTAATGCTTCATTCTGTCCAAGTTCTAACCATCTGTCCATCTTACCCTCCTACAGGCAATACCATCAAGAAATAGAGGAGTTTGTATCAAATTTAGTAAAACGATTTGAGGAACAGCAAAAAAATGATGTGGAAAGAACGTCCTTCAGCCTTTTACCCCAGGTATTTTAAACTTGTGGCTCGATGCTAAGTGGTTATGCTTTTGCTGACAACTGCTGTTACACTAGAACTTTCCTCAAATCAAAACCAAAATGGTGAAGATTATGTACTGATTTTGTATCCTGTTGGTGACTTCTTGCTACAAAGTGACCAACCTTGCCTCCCAGCTGTCCTTTGGATGCCTCCCTCACCTCCAGCTGGCTTGCCTTTGCCTTTGCTCAGAATAATGTATGGCTATGCACAAAATTAAAGGTGTCCTTCCCATTTCCCAACTTGGGCAAGTGGTTTGGGCAGGAACCTGATTGAAGGACAGGTTTATTTATCTGAGATTTTTGGTTTGGTTTGGTTTGGGTTTTTTGTTTTGTTTTGTTTTGTTTGCTTTTGTTGTTTTTCGAGACAGGGTTTCTCTGTAGCTTTGGAAGCTGTCCTGGAACTCGCTCTTTAGACCAGGCTGGCCTCGAACTCATAGAGATCCGCCCGCCTCTGCCTCCCGAGTGCTGGAATTAAAGGTGTGCGCCACCAATGCCCGGCCTTTATCTGAGATTTTTAAAAGATGGGCCAAGGAGGTATCTCATTGGGTCAGAGTGCTTGCTGTGCAAGTGTGAGAACCTGAGTTTGAATTGGCGATACCCACTTCTTGTGTGTAGCCAGCATTTGAAGTGCAAAGACAGTCAGATCCCAAGAGCTCACTGGCCAGCAAGCCTGGCCAGATGACAAGTTTCCAATTTGGTGAGAGATCCTGTGCCAAGGAGATAAGGTAGAGAGTTAGAGGACTGGTCTGTGCTGTGTCTTGCTGTGGTTCCTGCATGAGTGTGCACAGACAGGCACACCCACTAACTCTCGAGTACATAAATACCTTGACATGGTGTCTTATTTATATATATTTATACTGTCTATAACTCCAGTTCCGGGGATCCCACACTCTCACACAAGCATACATGCAAGCAAAACACCACTAAATAATCAGAAACAAAGGTGTTCCTCGGCCTCTTGTAATGCTTCTTGTTTGGTCTTAGCCATCAAGTGTTACCTTGGAAGAGGACCATAAAGTGGAAGGATCGTGTGCCATTAAAAACAACAAGGAAGCTTTCAGTGTAAGTTCAGCAGACCCTTCATTTTGGATTCTGCAGATGCGGACTTCTGTGTTTTATCAGTTGGGTGGCTTAATAATAGGTGACAGTCATGTGCAGTATTGTAGTTGTCATCCTCTGACTATCATCTGCTCTTTAGTGATTGTTGCACTCCATTGGGATGACACGGTATACTTTACTTGGAAGAGTTTGTGTTGGTCCTGACCAGCCTCTCATGTTTATCTTGAAAATATTGACTAAAGTAGAAAGCAGACTTGTAAATTTACATGCAGATGAAGCTGAGAGAAGTAGCAGATACAATGTGGCATATTTGTAGTTTAAAATGTTAATTGTGGGTAAAAGCAAAGGCTTAAGAAGAACTGTATTTAGGTCTTCAGCACTTTTGCAGAATTCATTGATATCAAACCATTTTTGTAGCGTGCTCTCAAAGGATCGCTGGTTTTCATGCTTATGCTCCTTGATAATTGTATCCTGATTTTAAAGACATGGGGCTGTGGAGATGATGAGTAGCTGCAAGCCTCGTGAAAAGACTTGAAAGGAATGTTGCGTCTCAGCAAATTCAATAGTAGTTGTTATATATCATGCTTCATAGCATCCCTGGCAGAACAGGATTAGTGATAGAATTGAGTATAAGAGGTACATTTCCACGGTCATTGGTGGCGCACCCCTTTAATCCCAGCACTCGGGAAGCAGAGGCAGGCAGATCTCTGTGAGTTCGAGACCAGCCTGATCTACAAGAGCTAGTTCCAAAACAGCCTCCAAAGCCACAAAGAAACACTGTCTCTAAAGGAAAAAAAAGGTACATTTCAGCTCAGTGTTAGAGAACTAACAGAATGTGGCTTTGGTGGCTCACACTTGTAATCCTAGCACCCAAGAGTTAAAGGCAGAATGGAAAAGGAAAAAGGTTCGCCTGGGCATGTAGCTTAGTAGCAGAGTACTTACCTAGTGTGTGAGTCACTGGGTGGTATTGTTGTTGTTGTTGTTATTATTATTTTCCTGGAGAGGTTTTTGAGGCAGACTTTCTCTGTGTAGCCCTGACTGTCTGTGGACTAGGCTGGCCTTGAACTCACAGAGATCACCTGCCTATGCCTCCCTAGTGCTGGGATTAAAGGCTTGTCAACCACTACTACCTGGTCCTATCAAGAATATTTTTACGTTTTCTATTTCTTGTTTTTTGTTTGTTTGTTTTTTAATTTTTAGATTAAATGTGTTCGTATGTATGCATGTATGTGCTGTGGTATGTGTATGGGAGTCTGAGGACTGTTTTCTGGAGTTGGTTCTTATCCTTCCACCCTATGTGTCCTGAATAGGGTACTCCAGTTGTCAGGCTTGGTATTTGAGCCATCTCACCAGCACAAATTGCTTGTTTTGTGAGACAAGGACTCACTCTGTAGTCCAGGCTATCCTCAAACTCAGCACTTCTCCCTTGGCCTTTGAAGTGTTAAATTTACAGGTATGAGCCACATTTAGCTTAAAGAAGGATTTCTGAGTTCAGCTAGGTAGCTTTCCTTTTTCTTTCAACTCAGAGGCAATGGGATTAAAGTAATGCTTGTCTAGAATAAGAGTTTTGTAGTTGTCGCTTTAGTTCTTTAGACAGTTCTGATAGCTGCTCTGCCAGGAGCAAAGAGGTTTCAGAGACAGCAATGAAAAAGAAGGTCTAGGCCAGCTCTGGTCTTATGAGTAGTTGAGTGGGAGAATGTTAAATTCCTAACAAAAGTAAGGTTGGGGTGTAAGCTAGTAGTTACCCTTGCCTAGCGTGAAGCTCTGGGTTTAATTCCCCAGTAGTATATAGTGGGTACATGTGGAGTGGGAGGCAGGGTGGTGGAGAGAGATTGGTTCATGGGCAGCTTAGTGAAATTCTAGCTCAAAATAAGTAAAGAAATGGCTGGGGCTGCAGTTCAGTGGTGAAGCATGCACTTGCTTGCCTACCATGTAGGAGGCCCTAAATCCAGTGGGGGATGGCAGGGAGAGGAGTGATACAATGGGTGGTTTGTATAGTGAGTTATTGGTGGCTACTGTGTGGCCCAAGATCTGGATGAATTGAAGGAGAATTTGAAGCTGTGTTCTGAGTGAAGAGGGCTCAGCAAATAGGAAAGGGCAGTAGATACCAGTAGCCAGTATTCAAATTGGTTTCTGTGCATCAGGTACTGGTATGTCACTTGGGAGCTGGTTACGGATGATACTCACGGAGATAATATTCTTGCCATTTTATTTTAAAACAATCACATGGAAAGCTAAGACTCACGAATAGACAGGTGACAGAACCAAATGATCTACATCCTTACATTACTTTATAGGCCATAATGGAGACTTCAGATTATAGTCTGAGAAACCATTTAAGGATCATAAGTGAAAATGTGATGTGCTACATCTTAATTGAAATTACCAGGTTCTTTTGGAAAGTAGTTGATCCCTGGTATGCATAGGTCTACAGCCAGTTAGAAAGCTGCTGTGTTAACCTCAGGCATGAGAAAGCATAACTGAGTCAGCGTGTTAGTTATGGTGATGCACGGCTAAAATCTGGGTATACTTGGCAGTAAAACCAATCAAATATGTTCATGAGTTAGATGTAGAATAAGAGAGCTCCTGAGAGAATAGTCAGAAGAACTCAGGCCTTGCCCAAGGGAAGTTTGAGGTATAGAGGAGGAGTAGTTTTGGAGGGGGCTGGGAATTACTGCCTTTTTTGTTTTGTTTTTGTTTTTAAGACAGTCTTGCTGTGTGTCCCAAGCTGGCCTTGAACTGTGGTCCTCCTGTCTCAGCCTCCCACGTGCTGGGATTGCAGGCAGGTGTCACCCTACCTGGCTTCCAGTGCCATTTATATAGGTCAGTTTGAGATACCTTACATGTCTAGAAAGAGGTGTCATGTTGGCATTTGAATATCCAGAACTGGAGCTAAGGGATCAGAATTTAGTTGGGGGCAGGGGGAGGCCCTGCGGCGGTCAGCATAGAAATTATTTCTTATACGCTACACCTGGGTGAATTGCCTGGGAAGTGAGAGTGGAAAACCAGCAGTATGGGGAGATGAGAGGGACCTGGGGCAAAAATAGGTTTCATCTCATCTAAGCAAAATAGAACTGAGAGTGGCGTCTTGAAAGCCTTTCAAGGATGGAAGGTGTTTGTGGAAGGAAGTAAGGAAGAATCAGCTGTGTCATTACTTGCCAATAGATTGAGAGATGAAGATTGACAGTTGCCCAAAGGACTAAGCTGCAGAGAAGTCCTTAGCTCCTTTGTCAAGCTAGTGTTATAGGAATGCAGCATTCCTGGTAGTGTCATTTAAGAACAGGACAGAGGAGCATGCTCTAGATAAAACCTAAATACAACACATGAACCTTAATATATCCTGACTTGGAGGCAAAAAAATATATAAAAAGCTTTGGAGATAGAGAAACTCAAATGTAGAGTTGTTCTTAATTCATACTGAAGCATTTAAGGGTAAGTGTTACTCTGTCTACAACTGACTTAAATGGTTAAGCAGAGAGAGAGAGTGAGAGAGAGAGAGAGTGTGTGTGTGTGTGTGTGTGTATACACATGAAAAGAGTCATGCACAGAAAAGTTTCAGACTTATTCAGTCTAAGTATAGATTGCATGAATATTTATTGCACTGTGTTTTCAACCTGTCTTTAAAAAATGACTGCAATAACTCAGTAAGAGACAAAGTAAATGGGAACCAAGGAACTAGAAACAATAAATAAAATACAGCCTGTGAGGGTCTTGCTGAAAACACACGAGGTACTGGAGGGACCAGTGAGAGTCCAGCTTTGGTTGAAACAGAACCGTCTGTAGTACTGACTGTACCAGTGGAAGCCTGGGTGTGGCTTTATTTGCACACCAGGGTCCAGCTCCCCTTTAGGACTTTATTCTTGTAGCTTCTCAAGCTAACTGTTAATGGGGAATCTTAGACTTTCATTATCATAGACTTACATTATTTAATGTCTTTTTTTTCTGCTTAAATAGCGATATTTTTTGACTTGTTTTCTGCAGGTTGTAGGAAGTGTCCTGTATTTTACTAATTTTTGCCTTGATAAATTGGGGCAACCGCTACTAAATGAAAACCCTCAGCTTACGGAAGGATGGGAAATACCCAAGTATCCTACATAGTGAATGAAGATCTTTATGCATCTTGCCACTAAGTTCACCTTTAAAAAAAGAAAAAAAGCTTACCCAATTTTGCAGACTATGATAACTGTTCCTTAATAAAATTCACTAAAGGTACCAGCAAGTCTTCAGCCACATTGTTTCTCTAGAAGGGCAAGAAATGCAAGTAAAGGCAAAAAGGTTTGTTTGGGGTGTTGTTATGTTTTATTCTTTGTTTTCCAATACCAGAACCATAAACTCTTTATCAACTCTTAAAAGTTAATATTCTTTATCTCTGACTTAATATAAATTACACATTGAGCTAGAATCCTGGTATCAGAAGATATGTGTTAAATGTTTAAATTGAACATCCGTTTCTTGGAATTCAGGCCCAGTGCCTGGGAGGGTGGAAAGAAGTCATTATTACTGTCAGTATGGTTACCATCTTTAGAACCATCTGCCTTCTTCCCATGTTACCTGAAGGAAACTGATGCTCTGTGTGCTTTGGTTCCTCTGTTGTTAACCACTGACAAAAGTTGAGAGGTAACGTGCTGATCTGGAGCAGGCTTGTTTGGGGTGAAAGACTACATATTGCTGCTTATGTAACTGAGCAGAAGACACATTGCTGTGCACAACAGTTGCAGATACAGTGCAACTTGCCTTCTGCTTTCTCTGGCACTCCAATGGCATCTAGAATGTATTGATTTGTTTCTGTTGTCACTTACATCATGAAAATCTTTGGATTTCTGTTTTGTTTTGTGTTCTGACCTAATAGGCCAAAGCCTCACTGTTTCAATTGTGGGTCTGAAGAGCATCAGATGAAGGAGTGCCCAATGGTAAATCTCTCCCATAAGCAGAGTGTCTTTGAACAAGAGCTGGTGGATGTTTTGTGCATGTGTGGCTCTGGGTAATGTGCATGAACTTCCTGTGCTACACTCATTGGTACTTTAAATCTTTGCAGATTTCATGCTTATATTTAAGACATTGAAATTTTTTTTTGGTTTTTTTTTTTTTTTTTTTTTGGGTTTTTTTTTCGAGACAGGGTTTCCCTGTGGCTTTGGAGGCTGTCCTGGAACTCGCTCGATAGACCAGGCTGGTCTCGAACTCACAGTGATCCGCCTGCCTCTGCCTCCCGAGTGCTGGGATTAAAGGCGTGCGCCACCAACGCCCGGCTGACATTGAATTTTTTAAAGAGAATAACAGTACTCTTTTTGAGGTGAATGAAGTATGAATTCATTTTTAGACAGTTTGTTTTAAAAAGTTAATTTTAGGTTCAGATAACACTAAAATAAAAACACTTAAATTAGCCGGGCGGTGGTGGCGCACACCTTTAATCCCAGCACTCAGGAGGCAGAGGCAGGCGGATCTCTGTGAGTTCGAGGCCAGGCTGGACCGACAGCCTCAAACAATACAGAGAAACCCTGTCTCGCAAAACCAAAAAAGAAAATCACTTAAATTGGCTGTTCTTACTTGATTTTCAAAAATGCTTGATTTTCAAAAATGTCTGCCCGCTTTTGTGCATATACTCTACATTAAAACTAGCGCAATCTATGCTTTATATGTTAAAAAGTGAGTATTATCAATAAATTTCTGATATATTTCTAAATCACTTGATATCATCTTTTCAAACATGATTATGATTTAGCCTCGGAATGCTGCTCGAATAAGTGAAAAGAGAAAAGAGTATATGGATGCCTGTGGTGAGACAAACACTCAGAGTTTTCAGCAGCGATACCATGCAGAAGAAGTAGAAGAGAGATTTGGACGATTCAAGCCAGGAGTTATTAGGTACTACTGTGATTTTACCATGGAGTGCTATTTTTTATTTTCTTAGTATTTAGAACATTCTCTGTCTCTTCTGGGTATTATAAGAATGTAAGTGTGAACCAGGCAATGGTGGCACACACCTTTAATCCCAGCGCTTGGGAGGCAGAGCTAGGGAAATCTCTTGAGTTTGAGGCCACTCTGATCTACAGAGTGAGTTCCAGGACAGCCAGGGCGACACACATAGAAACCATGTCTTGAAAAACAAAACAAAGATTGTAAGCATGCTATAGCAAGTCCATACAGAATGTGTCCTTTCAAAGCCATTATCAAAGACTTACTATGTGCTTGGCAGATACCATACTTCATGCTATGAATTAAGGGGCAGAAGTGTTTTAGGCAGGCATGGTGGCTCATGCCTGTGATCCCAGGACAATTGCCATGATTTCTAAGTGAACCTGAACTACAGAGTAAGAGCCCCATCTTAAGTAAAATATGGGCTTGGAAGTTAAGAGCACTGGCTGTTCTTCCAGAGGACCCAGGTTGGGCACCAAGCACACACATGTTGCATAGGCATACATATAGGCACAAATGCTTATACACATAAAAAATGATAATAATAATAATAATAATACTTTCAAAGAAGAAAGATGCCAAAATAGTGTTTTCATAGAAATATGAATTCATCATCTTCCTCCCCTTTATTTTTTCTTAGCGAGGAACTTCAGGATGCACTGGGTGTGACGGACAAGAGTCTTCCTCCTTTCATCTACCGAATGCGCCAGCTGGGCTACCCTCCAGGCTGGCTCAAGGAGGCCGAACTGGAGAATTCAGGGCTTGCACTCTATGATGGAAATGGTATAGTATGTTAGGATCCATAAGTCAGTTTATGGGTCCCTCCACCTCCCCCCTTTTTTTTTTTAAGATTTATTTATTTACTACATATACAATGTTCTGCCTACAGGCCAGAAGAGGGCACAGATTGAATTGTAGATGGTTGTCATCTTAAAAGGAAGGAACTAAAGCTTCATTGAGCATATAGAATTATCAGGTGGTTTAGCTGGATGTGATGGTGCACACTTGTTATCCCAGCACTTAGGAGGCTAAGGCAGGAGGATTGATAGTTTGAGGCTAGCCTGTCTGAGCTGCTTGACAAGACTCTGACTTAGAAAGAAAGAGAGAGAGAGAGAGAGGAGGGAGGGAGGGAGGGAGGGAGGGAGGGAGGAAGGAAGGAAGGAGGGAGGGAGGGAGGGAAGGAAGGAAGGAAGGAAGGAAGGAAGGAAGGAAGGAAGGAAGGAAGGAAGGAAGGAAGGAAGGAGGGAGGGAGGGAGGGAAGGAAGGAAGGAAGGAAGGAAGGAAGGAAGGGAAAAGAAAGACCAGGCGTGGTGGCACATGCCTTTAATCCCATCACTAGGGAGGTGGGTTTCTGTGAGTTCCAGGACAGCCAGAGCTGTTAACACAGAGAAACCCTGTCTTGAGAAACAAAAAAGAAGATGAAAAGAAAAAGTAGTATGAGGTGGGGGCCAGGGAGATGGCTCAGTGGGTAAAGGTGCTCGCTATGCAAGCTTGGCATCCAGGAAGAAACGAACTGTCTTACAGAGTTGTCCTTTGACCTCCACATGTGTGCTGTAGCACACCCACACACCCGCATCACGCACACACACAGTCATTTTCCATTAAACTGGGCAGTGGTGGCACACACCTGTAAACCCAGCACTCCGAAGACAGAGGCAGGTGGATCTCTGTGAGTTCGAAGACAGCCTGGTCTATAAGAGTTAGTTCTAGGACAGACTTCCAAGCTACAGAAAACCCTGTCTCAAAAAATTAAAAAGAAAGGTGGGAGGTATGTAGGTATATGTAGGTAGGTAGGTAGAAATAATGGTGCACTCCTTTGATCGCAGCACTCGTGAGGCAGAGGCAGGCAAGATCTCTGTGTGTTGGAGGCCACACTAGTCTACACAAAGAAACCCTGTCTTGAAAAAGAAGGAATATCAGATTGTTACTTTGGCTTGGTCTGTGTTCACTGAAGCCAGAGGGGAAACCTAGAGGTAGTCCTGAGAAACTTTTACTTTCTTGGTGTTGGTAACTTACACCAATCAAGACAAGAAGACACATGGCACTACTACAGTGGTGTGGGAGGGGAGACAAGAGAATTGACTGGGTGTAGCTCCTTGACGAAAATAACATGAGAGACCCTGCCTTAAAAGTAAAGGGCTCAGAGAGATGGCACAGTGGGAACAGGAACTTGCTGCCATGCCTGATGACCTGAGTTTGATCCTCAGAATGCACACGGGTGAAGAGAGATTTCCACTAATTTCCACACACCAGCCATGACACAGACGTCCTAAGAATTTTGTTTTGTTTTGTTTTTTAGAAGCAGGATCTGTTTTTTGTTTTGTTTTGTTTTGTTTTTGGGTTTTCAAAACAGAGTTTCTCTGTGTAGCCCTGGCTGTCCTGGAACTCACTCCATAGACTGGGGTGGCCTCCAACTCACCTGTTTCTGCCTTCTAAGTGCTGGGATTAAAAGTATGAGCCACCACTGCCTGGCTAAATCTTTTCCGTTTTTTGAGACAGAATCTGTATCCCAGGCTGGATTGGAACTTGCTGTGAATTAAGACTGGCCTTGAACTCCTGCCTCGGACTCCTAAATGTTGCAATCATAGGTTGCCATGCTCAGGGCCGATTTAAAATTTGTGATGGTTCAGGAAAATGATAGACATTCCTACACTAATTCTGATATAGTATCTCAGCACTTTGCTTGTGTTGTTTGATGTGAGGGGGAATATGTTTAGTGTCTAGCCTTGCTAATATTCTCTCTGGTCTCTAATAGATGATGCTGATGGAGAAACAGAAACTGGAGAAATACAGAATAAAAATGTCACTTATGATCTCTCAAAATTGGTAAACTATCCAGGTTTTAATATCTCTACTCCCAGAGGTATTCCAGATGTAAGTATACATTTTAAATTTTTTCTTCTAGATAGTTATATTAAAGATTTTTCAAAATTCTAATATATGTAGCAGTTTGTTACTTAATAAGTGAGTAAATTTCGGGCCAGGCGTTGGTGGTGCACAACTTTAATCCCAGCACTCGGGAGGCAGAGGCAGGCGTATCTCTGTGAGTTCAAGGCCATCCTGGTCTACAGAGTGAGTTCCAGGACAGGCTTCAAAAACAATGCAGAGAAGCCCTGTCTCGAAAAATCAAAAAAAAAAAAAAAAGTAGTAGTAGTAGCAGCAAGACATGATGATGCACATGTAATCATAGCACCTGAGAAGTGGAGGCAAAAATGAAGTGAGTTTTACTGACATGTTTTAACGTTTCATTTGTTAGATAGGTATCATGTTGCAGGCTGACCTTAGTTAGTCTTGCCTCCACTCCCAGAAGCTAGGGTTACAGGTGCACATACATCCTGCTCTGACGTAGGTTCTGGGGAGCCAAACTCAGGCTATCAGGCTGTGCTGCAACTCTTTATGCACTGAGTCTCCCAGATCCTATATGGAGCTGTTTTTGTTTTTTTGAGGTCTGGTTTCTCTGTGCAACATTTCTGACCAATCTGGAATTTACTTTGTATGCCAGGCTGGCCTTGAATTCACAGATATCCTCCTGCCTTGGCCTCCCAGTTCTAGGATTAAAAGTGTTTGCCACCACCTCCTGGCCTATATGGAGCTTTTTTTTGTTTGTTTGTTTTGATTTTAAGATTTATTTATTATGCATAGTGTTCTGCCTGCATGTACACCTGCAGACCAGAAGAAGGCACCAGATTTCATTATAGATGGCTGTTAACCACCATGTGCTGGGAACTGAACCAGGGCCTCTGGAAGAGCAGCCAGTGCTCTTAAGTGCTGAGCCATCTCTCCAGCCCCTATATGGAGCTTTTTTGCTTATACTTTTCAGTACTAGAAATTACACCCAGAACCTCTTATGTACTAGTACCACACTTACATTGAGCTACATCCCAACCTTGGTTTCTCTTATTAATTAGAATATTAGGTGTAAAACTATGTCTCAAAGTTACTACATTTTCTGACACTATCCTAAGCAAAGGAGCAAAAGTCCATTGTTAGGCCCTTTAATCATAACCCTGCACCAAGTTTGACTGGAGTCTGAGTCTTAGAATAGGACTTCTGCAGTGTAGTGTTATACTGTGGCATGCCTTTAATCCCACTTTGACAGGTAGAGGAAGGTGAATCTGTGAGACAGGGTTTCTCTGTGTAGCCCCAACTCTCCTGGAACTCACTCTATAGATTAGACTGGCCTGGCCTCGCACACAGAGAGATCCATCTGCCTCTGCCTCTGCCTCTGCCTCCTGAGTGCGGATTAAAGGTATGCACCGCCGCCACCTGGCTTCTTTGAGATATTTTATTATGACTCAATGATGTTGCTTCTTCCTCTTCCATGTCTTGGGATCCAATATTGTGCCATGTAGTCTAGTTTTACAGTTTTTATTGTCATTTTCTAGTTTGCATACAAAGTAATGGGTTTCATTGTGACATTTCTGTTTTAGGGCTTTTGGGGGTGGTGTTGAGGTGGGGGTCTCACTGTAACCCAGAAAAACCTTGAAGTCACTGTGTGTCCCAATCTGGCCTAGGATTTGCAGTGACCCTTAGCCCCTTCCTCTTGTGCTAGGAGCAAAATCTCAAGAAGGTGATGTTTTCCAAATCCATTTATCCTGTTTTTCCACATTAGGAATGGAGAATGTTTGGTTCCATACCAATGCAGGCGTGTCAACAGAAGGATGTGTTTGCCAGTTACCTTACTTCTAATACCCAGTCGGTAAATAGATTTGTGTGTGCATGTGTATGATGCTGGAAATTGAACGTAGGACCTCAGATGTGCTAGGCAAACACTCTACCTCTGAACTATATTCCTAGCCTCAGTACATAGTTTTTCAGGGCGTAGTTGGTAAACGATTGTGGCCATGAGGTTTTATGGCTCTTTAGTATCTTACTGATACCCGGTTAATCAAGTGGCTGTTGAATAAGAGCCCATTCAGCAATTGCTTGGGTCCAGACTGGTTTAGATATGGGGTAGAGGTTCTCTGTCTCCCCTGTGTAACTTGTATTCCTATTGGTTACTCTGTTAGCCGAGCATGAAGTCTGGCAGCAAGCGGTCTTCATCTCAGTCCAGCCCTAATAGTCCAAAGAAGCAGAGGAAGGAAGGCAGCTCAGCAGCCTCCCCCGCTGACATGGAGCTTGACTCAGGTAAGTTTCTGTGGATTTGATTTCCTAAAAAGGCAAGGTCAGTCTGTATGTTCCTGGGTCTGTAAGGAGGACAAAGCTTCACCATCCTTAACCTTAGCTATCAGAGCATTGCCATTGTCGCTGTTATAACCTGAATTGGAGGCCACACTTGCTGTAAGAGACATAGGGACCAGTTAATCGAGTCCCTGAATTTGGCAAGGTCAGCACCTATAGTGCCACATCTAGTCTGCCACTATGATGTACATCACTCCTGAACAAGCATCAAAAGGGCGTACACACCTCCAGCAGCTCCAGCTTCAAGAGTTGAGCGACTGGGCATTTACCTTTGTAGGCATATTGGTCCTTATAAGTAAGTTATCTCCCAGAGACTGTGTGCCCCTGAGAACTCAAATCCTTCCCTCTGACACACCCCTTTGTCCTTTTGTCATTTCATTCCTCTATGCCTTCCCATGGAACCTGTGCTTAACCAGGATTGCGATGACTCTGACAGGAAAATCCAGTTTTCCCCTTTAGGAGCGCTTCTGACCCAGCCCCAACCACTGCCCCTTTGTGGTTGCCTGATTTGTGGTTAATTAGATAAGCTCTGGGGCTATTCTGGACCCAAGGCTAAAAATTGTTTTCGACTCCAAAGTAGGCCTGTCTAGTTTTGTCCTACATAGCAAAGACAGGTGTTCTGAAATGAGGTAAAATGTCAACATTACAAGAAAATGCATTAAAAAAAAATAGCCCAGCGGTAGAACTGGGAGGGAGTGTGCATACTTAGCATATGTGAGGCGCTGGTTTTAAATGCCAACACTGAAGGAAAAACCTTTGAGGTACAGATAGTGTATGTACTTTATTCCAAACTTGAATGTGAACTCTCCCCATTTTCAAATTCCCAAGGAGGCTGGGTGGCGGTGGTGCACTCCTTTCATCCCAGCACTCAGGAGGCGGAAGCAGGCAGATATCTGTGAGTTCGAGACCAGCCTGGTCTACAAGAGCTAGTTCCAGGACAGCCTCCAAAGCCACAGGGAAACCCTGTCTCGAAAAATCAAAAAAATATTTTCCCGGCCTGGAGAGATGGCTCAGTGGCTAAGAGCACTGGCTGCTCTTCCAGAGGTCCTGAGTTCAATTCCCAGCAACCACATGGTGGCTTACAACCATCTGTAATGAGATCTGGTGCCCTCTTCTGGCCTGTGGACATACATGTAGAGAGAATACTGTATACATAATTAATAAATAAGTAAATAAAATAAAAAAAATTCCCATTGATAACTTAAAGATTATGAACTAAATTCTCTTAAAGTTCAAAGGAATTGAAGTCCAAAATTAATTACTTTTAAAAAATTCGTAATCTGTTAGGCTTGGTGTCCTGTATTCCTTGTACTTGGGAAACGGGCAGGAAGATTGTGGGTTCAACTCTAGCCTGGGCTACATTGCAAGATCCTGTCCCCAAAAGACAAACCAATTAAGCTGCCTGTAAATGAAGCTCTTCTGTCCTGCCCACCAGTCCTGAAACCACTTATAAAATAATCACTCAAAGGCTATAGTTGTTTGATGAATCAGGCTTATTTCTCTGTGGCTTTGGAGGCTGTCCTGGAACTCGCTTGGTAGTTCAGGCTGGTCTCGAACTCACAGAGATCCACCTGCCTCTGCCTCCCAAGTGCTGGGATTAAAGGCGTGCGCCACCAACGCCCGGCTCTGGCTAGCTCTTAAATTAACCCATTTCTACTAATTTGTGTATCGCCGCGTGACCGTGGCTTACTGTACTGCTCTGGCATCTTTACTCCTCTGGCAGCAGCCTTCTTTCTCCCTGTATCTCTGCTTGGATTTCCTGCCTAGCTATCAACCAAATAAAAGCAGCACATATTCACAGCATACAGAAGTGCATCCCACATCAGCTGCATCATCGTTTTTTATTGTATCATCTCAGCACAGGGTCCTGAGGTTTCAAACTGGGCTTCTAGCTTTTGCAGCCTTACTTCAGTTTCCAGTCTCAACCGCCCCTCCTTTTTTTTTTTTTTTTTTTTTTCTTTAAATTTTGGGGTTGGTTGTTTTGGAGATAGGAGCTCATATAGCCCAGACTAGCTTCAAACTTATCATGTAGCTAGCCTAAGCTGATCTTAAAGTTCCCCCCATCCTTCCATGTTAGCCTTCCAAATCCTGGGATCACAGGAATGATCCACCATGCCTGGCTCTCTGGTATAATTTCTTTTAAACAAGATAGACTTAATAGGGAACAAAACACTAACAGCCTTTTCTAAAGATTCATGAAAGTTTGAAACAAGCTGGATGTGATGATAGACTCTATAATCCTAGCATTTAAGAAACGTAGACAAGTGCTGGAGAGATGATTGGCTTGCTCTTCCAGAGGTCCTGAGTTCAATTCCCAGCAACCACGTGGTGGCTCACAGCCATCTGTAATGAGATTTGGTGCCCTCTTCTGGCCCTAGATATACATGCAGACAAAACACTATATTCAAAATAAAAATAAATCTTTTTTTTTTAAAGATTTATTTATTTATTTATTTATTACATATACAGTATTCTGCCTACACACCAGAAGAAAGCACCAGATTGAGTTGTAGATGGTTGTAAGCCACCATGTGGTTGCTGAGAATTGAACTCAGGACCTCTGAAAGAGCAGTCAGTGCTCTTAACCTCTGAGCCATCTCTCCAGCCCCATAAAAATAAATCTTAAAAAAAGAGAGGTCCTCCTGTGAGTTCGAGACCAGCCTGGTCTACAGAGTGAGTTCCAGGACAGCCTCCAAAACAATACAGAGAAACCCTGTCTTGAAAAACCAAAAAAAAAAGAGAGAGAGGCAGAGGTCCTCACAAGGTCAGGGCCTGGTCTACAGAGCAAGTTCTAGGTCAGCCAGAGCTGTATAATAAGATCCTACCTTTTTTGTTTTTCAAGATAGGGCTTTTCTGTGTAGCTTTGGAGGCTGCCCTGGAACTCGCTCTGTAGACCAGGGTGGCCTTGAACTCACAGAGATCCAACTGCTTCTGCCTCCCTCCTGAGTCCTAGGACTAAAGGCATGTGCCACCACTGCCTAGACTTTTTGTTTTGTTGGTTTTTGGTTAGTTTGTTTTTTGTTTTTATGGAGAGCCAGTGCTAAAACAAAAATGGGGCTGCTGGTGAGATGTCTCAGTGGGTAAAGACTCCTGCTGCCAAGCCTAAAGACTTGAGTTTGTTCCTGGGATCCATATGATGGAAGGAAAGAACCTATTTTGACCTCCACAGGTATGCTGTGGGATACAAACAAACATACAGACACATATTTTTATTTTATGTATGAGTGTTTTGCTTTCATGCATGTCTGGGCTAGAAAAGGTTGTCAGATACCCAGGAATTGGAGTTACAGGTTGTTGGGAGCCACCGTGTGGCGCTGGAAATTGATCCTGGCTCTTCTGGAAGAGCACCCTGTTCTCTTAGCCATCTCTCCAGCCCCATGATTTTTTTTTTCCTCCCCCAAGACAGGGTTTCTCTGTGTAGCTTTGAATCCTGCCCTGCAACTCACTCTGTAGACCAAGCTGGCCTCAAACTCACAGAGATCCCTCTGCCTCTGCCTCCTAAGTGCTGGACTAAAGGCGTGCGCCACCACTGTTGGCTTGAATTGTTTTGTTTTGGGGGACAGAATTTCTCTGTGTAGCTTTGAAGCCTGCCCTGGAACTCACTCTGTAGACCAGGCTACTGGCTTGAATTTTTAAAAGGGGGTGAAACTAGTAAAGGAGATCATCTTAGCATGTACAAAAGGTTATGTGGTAGAAACCGTCCTGCCCAACCACAGAATAGGAAAATGACTGCAGACACTGAAGCCACATCCTGACCAGCCCAGAAGCCTTTCTGGGTATTTTCTGGAGTCCAGTAGGTCTGTTTTTATCCTCTCACCCAGCACTTAGGTTACCTGCCCACTGACTCTGAATGACCAAGTAGTGATCATGCAGTGACTGATGCTCAAGGCCAAGTATTAGAGCTCCTTAGTGGAAAACTGAACAGGGCAAGCTCTCCTATCATTAACCCCCTGGGGGTGGAGAGAAGATTAAGTTAAAAACTTTAGTTTTGGGAGAGCCAAATGGCTCAGTAGGTAAAGGAACTTGCCACCAAGCCTAGTGACCTGAGTCAATTCCTCAGGAATGTGGTGGAGAGAGAGAATTCCTGGGGGGCTAGAGAGATGGCTGAGAGGTTAAGAGCACTGACAGCTCTTCCAGGGGTCCTGAGTTCAATAAATCTTTAAAAAAAAAAAAAAAGAGTAAGTAAATAAATAAAATAAACAGGGTCCAGTGTAGCCCATGACCTTGCTCTCCGTCCTCTTTACAAATGTTAGGATTATAGGCATACACCACCATGCTTGACTCTTGTATGGAAACTGTGTGTGTGTCTGTGTCTGTGTGTGAGACAGACAGATGGAGTGGAAGGTCTCCCTGTGTAGCCCAAACTGGTTTCAAATTCAGGGATAATCCTGCCTGCCTCACCCTGCCAAGTACTAGTGTTAGAGGCATATGCTACCATACCAATGGACATAAATCTTTTCAGGGTGAGGTGAATTTCAAGACAGGGTTTCTCTGTGTAGCCCTAGCTATCCTGGAACTCACTTTGTATATCAGGCTGGCCTCAAACTTGCATAGATCCATCCGCCTACCTTTGTCTCCCGGGTCCTGGGACTACAGGCACGTGCCACCATTCCAGGCAAATCTTTTGTTTGTTTGTTTGTTTGTTTTTCAAGACAGGGTTTGTCTGTATTGTTTTGGAGGCTGCCCTGGAACTCGCTCTGTAGACCAGGCTGGCCTTGAACTCACAGAGATCCGCCTGCCTCTGCCTCCCAAGTGCTGAGATTAAAGGTGTGCACCACCAACGCCGGACTGGGCAAATCTTATATTTGTTTTAATGATTTATTTATTTTTATCTTATGTGCATTGGTGTTTTGACTGTATGTATTTCTGTTTAAGGATGTCAGATTTTGGAGTTACAGACATTTGTTAGCTGCCATGTGGGTTCTGGGAATTCCCAGCTCTTCTGGAAAAGCAATTTATTCACCACTAAGTCCTGGCTGGCTGAGTGCTGGCATTTATGGCATGTACCACGATGTCTAACCCGTTTCTGCCTTCACAAAGACAGTTATTTCATGTCATTCTATCTCTAGGGACCCCCACGTTTAAACAGTGGTTTGGTTTGGTTTGGAATGCTGTGAGTCCTTCTAAAGCATCTTTCCCTTTTCAGATGTGGAGCCTCCACCTGGTTCTCAGAGCAGCAAAGCTTTTCAGTTTCAGCCACCCTTGCCTCCTGGCACACCTCCTCCGCTGCCGCAGGGAACACCTCCACCTGTCTTCACTCCTCCACTCCCTAAGGGCACCCCACCGCTGACTCCCAGTGACTCACCCCAGCCCAGACCCACAGCTGCAGCCATGGATGAGGACGCCCTGACTCTGGAGGAGCTTGAAGAGCAGCAGAGACAGATCTGGGCAGCTCTCCAGCAGGCCGAGGGAGGCAACAGTGACTCTGATGTTCCCGTGGACACACCTTTAACTGGGAATTCAGTCGCCTCCTCCCCTTGTCCAAATGAATTTGACCTCTCTGTCCCAGAAGGAAAGACCCTGGAAAAGCCAGTGCTGTCTGAGCCCCAGGGGCCAACCACTTCTGTAGAGACAGCTGCACCTGAGCCTCCCTCTAGCACAGCAGCTGGGGCAGCAGTGCTCTGTCAGAAAGAAGAGGAAGACACTGAAGATGCTCTTGTTGACAATGACAGTGTGTCGGACTGTGACATGAGGAATGGAGGCAGCCAGAAACTCCTTCATCTGGACACCCGGCCTTCAACAGCCTCAAAAATCCACAGCCCGGTACCCGACATGAGCAAGTTTGCCACTGGAATAACACCCTTTGAATTTGAGAACATGGCTGAATCCACTGGAATGTACCTCAGAATAAGAAGCCTGTTAAAGAATTCACCCCGGAATCAGCAGAAAAACAAAAAGGCTTCCGAGTGAGCTCCTGCCTCACTGTTGGCTGCATGATCTGTGGCTCTATGCTGTTGTAGCAGACTGAGATGGCGGGTGAAATCACTTCCCGTTTGTCCTTCCCACCTTTTAGAATCTGCCCAGGGTTTAATTGTGATCTCAACTCAAGCCTGTTTCACAAAATGAAAGACTGGGCATGTGAGTTTGCTGTTTTATTCTCACTGAAACAACCAAGGGGTGTGTACATGAGCTGGTTCAGAGATGGTTGGTTCTGGTTATACTATTTTTGGATCGTGAGTATCTGTCAAGAGTAATGGTTTTTGTTTTTTGTTTTTAATGTCTTTTGTAAATTGTTTTCCCTTTCTACATTTTGCTATTATCCTGTATATATAAGCTTAATATATCACTTTTTAAAAGAAACTCTAACAATTTTAAATTCACATTTCAATTCCAACAACCAAATGAGAAAAATCAGGGATGAGCAGCTTTGTCCTGCTTAGGGTATTTTTGTAAGATTTTCATGCATGAATTTTAATAACACTTTTACTTTTTGTAATTTAATTACTCAAATCCAATAAAGGTGTGCTCACCTTTGTGTACAGAGGTTTAATAAATTAGTTTTCTTATACATGAACCAAGATTTTGGGTAGATCCGCCTGCCTCTGCCTTCCGAGTTAAATTTTTCTTTTAAACCTGGACAAAATAATGTGGTTGCAAAGAAACTGCTTGTTTGGCTGCTGTAAGTGGATCCCAGCCTTATATATAATAATATAGAGACAAAATTGTTTAATTATTCTGGGGAGAAGGTGGAGGTCTGTAGGGGTGAGCCCAAAATACTGTCCACGCCCAAAAGGGTACTTAGAACAGGTAAGATATTTAAGGAAAGAAAAAGTAAAAGCACTCTCTCCTGGAAGCTAGCCGCATTCCCAGAGCCTCTACCCCTGTTTGTCTTGTAAATATATTTCATAAATATATTAGACCTCCTTTTCAGATAGCGTTATCTCCATCTTCAGAAATCAGTTAGGCTTTACAAGATAATATTGTGCATTCAAACCCTAGGGTAACAATAGTTAGACAGACAAACTGCGTGTGACTGTCCGCAGTGCAAGCTGGAGTCGGGTCTGGTTCTCCGAGGGTGCTGTTAGTCTCTGCTTGGCCAAGCTCAGGAACACTCAGAGATCGTGACTCACCACTCACGTAGTGTTCCCCTGCTCCCAGGCCAACCAAGGAGGGGAAAGGGAATCATTCTGGATGTAGCCTACATTTCTGAGAACTTGAATAGTCAAACTTACTGGTTTGTAAACAGTAAAGGGAAGGTTGGTCGCAAGCAAGGGCAAATGAAGCCATGTGGGAATGAAATGTTAAGGACGAGCTTTTTTTGTCATCCAAGTTCTAAGTGAATTCTTCAGGGGTGTACTTGGCATTGTGACACAGGAGAGCTTCAGCCTTTCCAGCAGTCCTGCACAAGGAAGGAGGTCAGGGAGACAGAGAAGATAAGGGGTCTTGTCAACATTAGATGTGGTTTTCCGCTCTTTTTTTCCTATCTTGCTGTATAGCCTAGGAGACTGACCTTATTCAGTCTCCCTGCTGCTGACTACCTTACTGCTGGCATTACAGACAAGATGACATGACTCTTTTTCAAAGAGCATTTATTTATTGGGGAGGCTTTCCTTGGCATGCATATGGAGGGTGTCCGTGTTCTCTTCCCACCACTGCTGGTCATCAAGCTTGGCGACAAGCACCTTTACCTGGTGAGCCTGCTCACAGCCTGAGAATGACATTGTACTTTCTGATCTGCCTCCACCTTCTTGGTTCTTGATTAAAGGTGTGTGTACACCACCACTCCCAGTTGCCGAGGATCCCGCCAGAGCCAGTGTGTGTTAGGCAAGCGCTCTACCGACCGCACTGCTTCCCTGCCCCAGTGACATGGCTTAACTGTCTAGCCCGGTGTAGTGGCTTGTGCCTGGAAGCCTAGCACTTGGAAGAGAGGCTGGAGAATCAGGACTGGCCTTGGTTGCATAGCAAGTTCACTTAGCCTGAGCTACATGAGATCCTGCCTCAAAAAAAAAAGTTAAATGTTCCTTTAACTATTATATTACTAGTATCCTCCAAATATTGAGATAGCTCAGCAATTATTTCCAACCTATAGTACCCTGTTAAGGTATAGATTATACCATTTTCACTTCATTGAATAGGCATTGTCTTTTTCTTTTTTTTTTTAAGTAAATGTCTAAGACAAGATGGTAAGCAGCTTCATTGTAAATAAATTCAGATCTCTTGCCTTTGTATCCAAACTCTTTTTTTATTTTTTTATTTTTAGTTATGTTTGTATGTGTGTATGTGTGAGTTCAGGTGCCCTTGGAGCCCCAAAGAGGGCATTGAATTGTCTGGAGTGGAAATTGGATGCAAGTGGTTGGTTGGGAGCTGATGTGAGTGTTGGGAACCAAACCTGGGTTCTCTCCAAGAACAGCAAATTGAACAGCTCAGCCATCTCTCCATCCCCGGAATCTGGGCTTTTACCCACTGACTTATTTCCCTGTGAGAAGCTCTACACAAAAGTATTGATGTCTTGAAAACTGGGCTGTCCTTTTTTTTTCAATTAGGGGTGGAATTTTAGTTGAGTGGTTGAGTCTGCCTGACAGGTATCAGGTATGAGGCCTTAGGTTAGATTCCCCAGTACCAGGAAGAGAAGAAATGGACAACTACCCACTGGATGGTTCCTGCTTGTAATCCCAGCACTGGGAGACAGGCTGGAGGAAGGCAAGTCATAAGCCAACCTGTGTTGTGGAATAATCTTTTTGTACACTGAAGATTTGTCACTTGGACTAATAAAAAGCTGAAGAACTAAACTGGAGAGACGGCTCAGCGGTTAAGAGCATTGGCTGTTCTTCCAGAGACCCTGAGTTCAATTCCCAGCCACTTGGTGGCTCACAACCATCTATAACTTTAGTTCCAGGGGATCTGACACCCTCACAGATATACATGCAGGTAATACACCAATGCACATAAAATCATTTTTGTTAATCTTAAAAAAAGATTCACCTACAATCCTGGGCTACACAATAAGACCCTGCCTCAGGAAAAAAAAGAAATGCAAGAGTTCACCCTTTGCTTTGAAGGAGCTTCACGATTAATGGGTCCCAGCATAAAGCAGTGTATGGCTTGGCGGGCACAGAAGGCTAGAGAAAACCTCTGACTTATAAAGCATAGGAAAGGAGGATAGTACAGACCAAATGCACACTGAAAGATACAAGGGCCAGCAAGATGGCTCAGTGGATAAAGGTATTGGCCTCCTTGGAAAACATAATAAAATAGAATGAATGTGGGATAGATCCAGATGTGGTGGTACATACCTGTCTTGTCAACCTAGCAAGTTTGGGACAGCTTGAGCTGATAAGATCCTGTCTCCAGCCGGGTGGTGGTGGTGCGCGCCTTTAATCCCAGCACTCTGGAGGCAGAGGCAGGCTGATCGCTGTGAGTTCGAGGCCGGGCTGGACCGATAGCGTCCAAAACAATACAGAGAAACCCTGTCTCCTTTTTGGTTTTCAAGACAGGGTTTCTCTGTATAGCCCTGGTTGTCCTGGAACAAACTCTATAGACCAGGTTGGCCTCGAACTCAGAGATGTACCTGCCTTTGCCTCTTGAGTCCTGGGATTAGAAGGTATGTGGTGGCCGGGCAGTGGTGGCACACGCCTGTAATCCCAGCACTTGGCAGTCAGAGACAGGTGGATCTCTGTTTGAGTCCAGCATTGTCTACAGAATGAGTTCCAGAACAGGCTCCAAAGCTACAGAGAAACCCTGTCTTGAAAAAAATATATAGACACGTGCCACCACATCCCTGCAAAGAATGGTATTTCTTGAAAAAAAAAAAAACTGATGAATACTGAGAACGCTTCACTGCTGTTTCAAATTTATGAGGTGAAAGGCCTGTAAGGTTCTTCAATGGGAGTGACTTCATCCAAGTAATGTACTCATTTTCCTTTTTGAGATCAGTTTCTATAGCCCAGGCTACTCTGGCACTGCTATGTAACCCTGGCTGGCCTCGAAATTAGTTTCCTCCTGTCTGACCATCCCAAGTGCTGGGATTAAAGATGTTTACCATCAAACCTGGTTCCAAACAATGTCTAAAATCAGATTTACTCCTTAACATGTGATGGGGGTTGAGGGAGGCGCATGCCTCATTGTGTAGGTGGAGATCAGTGGACAACTTGTGGGAGTCCGTTCTCTCCACCTTGTGGGCCTTGATAGAACTCAAGTCATCAGGTACCCTTGCTAAACCATCTTGCCAGCCCCCCAGGCCATTCTTTTAACCGCTTAGCCATCTCTCCAGTCCCAGCCATTCTTATTTTTATTTTTTATCTTTTTGCTTTTTAAGTGTGTGTGTGTGTGTGCATGTGTGTGTGCATGTGTGTGTATGTGTGTGTGTGCATGTGTGTGTGCATGTGTGTGCGCGTGTGTGTATGTGTGTGTATGTGTGTGTGAGTGTGTGTGTGTGCATGTGAGTGTGTTGTGAGTGTGCGTGCGTGTGTGTGAGTGTGCGTGTGTGCGTGTGTGCGTGCGTGTGTGTGAGTGTGCGTGCGTGTGTGTGTGAGTGTGTGTGAGTGTGTGTGCATGTGTGAGTGTGTGTCTGTGTGTGTGTGTGTGTGTGTGTGTGTGTGTGTGCCCGAGGAGGGCAAAGGCCTCAGTTGCCCTGGAGCTAGAGTTAGAGGCAGACAGGTGTGAGCCACCTCACACTGGGTTCTTGGGAATTGAACTCAGAGCCTCTGGACGACGTATGTGCTCTTAGCCACTGAGTTATCTCTCAAGCTCCCAAGCCATCCTTTAAAGCGGATTAATTTTTGTTGTTTTTTTCAAGACAAGGTTTCTCTGTGTTGTCCTGAAACTTGCTCTATAGACCAGGCTGGCCTCAAACTCAGAACTCAGAGATCCACCTGCCTCTGCCTCTGCCTTCCCAGCGCTGGGATTAAAGGTGTGCGCCACCATATCTGGCTAAGTAGATTAATTTTAAAGCAGAATTCAGAATGAATGTATTTATTTCGTAATGATTCATTGGTTTTCATTAGTAGCATTGTGTGCATTGGTGTTTGGCTTGCGTGTGTCTGTGTGAGGGCACTGGATCACCTGGCACTGGAATTGCAGTTGTGAGCTGCCACGTGGGTGCTGGGAATTAAACCCGGGTCCTCTGAAAGAGCAGCCAGTGCTCTTAACTGTTGAGCCGTCTACAGCTCCAGAATGGAATTTATTTTTAAAGACAGGAATTCATAGGTGGGAGGGCATAAGAATAGGATGAAATTGCTTCATGGAGGTAGCCCACTTTTTAAATGTGCGCTGCTGCATTTGGTTGTTAGAATGAGAATGTTGAACAGAGGGAGGAGGGTTGTTTGGACTTGTCAGTGTGTGACAGGTCTCCAGGTGTGGGCCAATGAGGTAATAGTCAAACACTTCAAGACGGACTGTTGAGCAGGGGTGGGGATCTGTTTGTCGAGGGAAGTCCCACAGGTTGCTACAACAAGGCCAGCTCTCATTTTCTTGAGCCAGTAAGTGGGAAGAAGGCACTGCCCTGACTAAGGCAAAAAAACCTGATGCTGCTTTCTTCAAAACGTTGGTGTCTCAGAACCGTCTGCGTTCTCATAACCACAGATGCCCTCCCAGGTGACTGGATTTTCAAGTTCTTTGCTAGAATGCTTTTTTTTTCCCCTATTTTTTTTAACTTTTCATTTTTATCTTACGTGTGTGTGCATGAAGACATCACAGTGTACATTGTGTGTGTGTCTGTGTGTGTGTGTGTGCATGGAGACATCACTGCACATGTGATGTCAGAAGACAGCTTGTGGGAGTCAGTTCTCTCCTGTCACGCAGGTCCTGGGGACAGAACTTGGGTCATTTTTGGCAGCAATCACCTTTACCTACTGAACCATCTCACTGGCCCTCATTTGATCCCCCCCTTCAGTTTAAAGATTGCAGTGAGCAGACAGTACCAACAAGAGTATTGCAACAACTTTTAGTGCCCAAGCAGCTTGTAAGATATGACTCATTTTCTGAGATCACAATGCCCTCAGACAGCCTGGGTTTCCAGCATTTAGGAAAATCGCTTTTCCTTCAGTCTCATAGGTTCATTTGATACCACAGTGCAGATCTTTAGGACTAAGTTATTTTGGTAAAGGAAATGGCTTATTGGTGGTTCACACCTATAGTCCCACTTGAGGATTTAGGGAAACACATATGGTCCACCTACATGTTTATTGCATGCTTTTGTTTTGGTTTATTTTGGTTTTTCGAGACAGGGTTTCTCTGTATTGTTTTGGAGGCTGTTTTAGAACTCGCTCTGTAGACCAGGCTAGCCTGGAACTCCCAGAGATCAGCCTGCCTCTGCCTCCTGAGTGCTGGGATTAAAGGTGTGCACCACCAATGCCTGGCCCATGTTTTCTTTCTATACATATTATTTTCTTTTTCTTTTTTTTCTTTCTTTTTTTTTTTTTTTTGCTTCTTCTATTGGGTTACAGAATGATGTTTTGTAATTCTGTGAGCATCCCTTCAGGGCTGGGAGTGGAGCTCAGGTGGTAGAGTGCTAATCCAGCATACTCAAGGCCCTGGATTCCAACCCAGCACCTTATAAATCACCTGTAATTCCAGCACTCAAGATGCAGTTGGGAGAATTAGAAGATCAAGGTCATCCTCCGCTACATAGCAGCTTTAAAGCCAGCCTAGAATACATGCATGAGACTCTCCCCAAAAGAAATTCATTAATCCATTTAAGAAAGCAGGGCTCAGTAGTTAAGAGATGCTTGCCACTGAGCCTGACATCCTGGGTTCTATCCTTAGGACCCGCAAGGTAGAAGAGAACCTGTTGAGCATGGTGGTGCACACCTTTAATCCCAGTACTGGACAGGCAGAGGCAGGTGGATCTATGTGAGTCCAAGGCGTCTGGTCTATATCGCAATTTCCAGGCTAGCCAGAGCTACTTAGTGAGACTCTTTCAAAAGACTATAAATATCTATAATATATACTTGCAATCCCAATCCTCTTATATGTCTGAAGCAGTGAGAAATTTGTTTTTGGAACAAAACTGCCAATGACGTGGTATTTTTGGAATTTTGCAACCCAAGGAGGGACTGCAACAATAAGAGCTGGAACCTTTATCCAGCTGTCTATCAGGGCCCTCAGCTGACACCATTCCTCTGCAGCATGACCTCATAACGATGAGTTCTCAATTTCAGTCGTCGCTGTGGCTTGGGCGTTAGTCATAACTGAGAATGACAAATGAAACTGGTCCAGACAGGCTGTGGGATTCGACCCAAGGCTGACTTCTCACAGACTAAGGAGTTCCCTTCTCTTCCACATGCTGACTGCACCTGTCCTGACCTGGGGCCTTTAAAACAATCACCATTCTGTTCACTGCCCCAGCAAGGTTGCTCTGAAACTTTCACTGGTGAGCGATGAGGACTGATGGGCTCTGATATGTTAAGGACAGTTGAAAATGGTCTTAGGACAGTAAGAAATCAGGACAGGGTTGTGGGAACAACAGACCTTGGCCGGAGACCCACTTCCCCATCAGCCTGGGAGCAGGCAGCTGTGAGACAATGTTTACTGAAAACATGTTTACTGAAAACAATCCAGTGCCCTAAGAAATGTTTACCCGGGTGGTGGTGGCACACACCTTTAATCCCAGCACTCGGGAGGCAGAGGTAGGTGGATCTCTGTTTGAGGCCAGCCTGGTCTACAGAGCGAGTGCCAGGACAGCCTCCAAAATAATACAGAGAAACCCTATCTCGAAAAACCAAAAAAAACAAAAACAACAAAAAAAAAAAGTTCCCGATAAGGGCTCCCTCACTGAAACACCCTGACTTTGATCTTTCAGATGGCTAGCCACCTCTTCCTGCCCCCTGCTGCTGCTGCCCATTCTAGTGTCAGGGATATAACCACCAGCCAGGAGGAGGAAATGTATGTGTGTGTGTGGCAGAAGCTTTTCTGGAGGGAAGCGTTTCTTGGGAAGTTCTCTTGAGCCTTCTTGGGGAGCATAAAGTTTTCTTAACGCAACCGTCTGGTCTCTGTGTCATCAATCCCGACACCCTCGCCACATTCTCGGATACAGGCTGCGCAGCGGGCGCGGCACAGGGTTAGCAGGTGGGTAGCAGAATGTATTGCCTAGCTGGCATGGTGGCACACACCCGTAACCCAGCTCTAAGACCGCTGAGACAGGATTGTGACTTCTACGCTACCCAGGGCTACATAGCAGAACCCTGTCTTACTGTATTAGTTTGACTTTTCTTTTCCTTTTCTTTCTCCTCCTCTTTCTGTCTACTCCTCCCTTCCTCCTCCCCCTTTTAACATTTTAAATTGCAGTGTGTGTGTGTGTGTTCATACCAGGGCACACATTTGGAAGTCGTGGGATAGGGTAGGTTCTCTCCTATCATGTGAGTCTTGGGGATGGAACTCTGATTCTCAGACTTGGCACCAGGCACCTTTACTTATCACACCATCTTGTCCACGTAGGCTTTCCATTACTTTAATAAAATACCCATCACAGATAACTTGATTGGGGTAGGATTTGCTTGGGCATATAGTTTCACTTCACAGTCCTTGGTTGCTTTGATTTTTAGACCCATGGTGAGGCGGGACATCACTATGACCGCAGTGTGTACCAGAAGTTCAGGCTGGTCATGGTGACTCATGCTTTTAATCCCAGGAGGATCTCTGTGAGTTAAAGGCCAGCCTCATCTATACATCCAGTTCCAGACCAACCAAAGCTAGAGAGACCCAATCTTAAGATAAAACAAAAAAACCTGTGTAGCTCATGTAGGCCAGCTTCTGGGATGAGCCTGTCAAAGTAACATTAACAATCCTCCCTCATTTGAGTGCACCAAATTTCTAACACGCCAGTCTTATCCACGTGGCCTCCAAAAATAGAATGTTCTTTTCAGGATTTGTTTGTCTTATGACTGGCCTGAAATATGATGTTTAAATTCAGATTGTATGTGTTGGTGTCACATGATTGGTCACCACTAATTGACGTCTGTTTAATCCCCTTTATGCAGAAAGGGATAAGTCCTCCCGACTTGGGCAGACCATGATAAACATGTCACTACATAGAACCCCCAGCAGGCAGAGAGAATACAACCACCTAACCAGAGACCTTTCCCTTTATACCAATAAAGAGAAGGGACTCCGGAAGGCCACAGGTTTCTCATGTCTGTAATGTCAATATTTGGAGGCAGAGTCAGGAGACTCACAGCAAGTTCAAGGTTGGCCTGGTCTAAATAGTAACTTCTAGGCCTGCCAGGACTATAAAAGACCCTACTTTTAAATACCACAATAAAGCTGGGCGTTGGTGGCGCACGCCCTTAACCCCAGCACTGGGGAGGCAGAGGCTGGCAGATCTCTGAGTTTGAGGCCAGCCTGGTCTACAGAGCGAGTTCCAGAGCAGCCAAGGTTAGGCAGCGAAGGGAGCCATCAAAAGCAGAGAGTTGGAGAAGGTGTAATTGAATGAGGGGCCGTGTTCCAGGCCCAGCAAACAGCAGAACTTGGCAGCTTCAGCCAAGTGGTCCGGCTTTAGAGTTAAGTATAGAAGAAAGGGGTTGTGGAATTTGCCTCTGAGATGAAGGAAAGTCCCCGAGGCCAGGCATGTGTCAGGGTGTCCCTGAATGAAGGCCTAAAGATGCCATTGCATGCCGGGCGTTGGTGGCGCACGCCATTAATCCCAGCACTCGGGAGGCAGAGGCAGGCGGATCTCTGTGAGTTCGAGGCCAGCCTGCTCTACAAAGTGAGTTCCAGGACAGCCTCCAAAGCTACAGAGAAACCCTGTCTCGAAAAACCAAAAAAAAAAAAAAAAAAAAGATGCCATTGCATGAAGCTGTGAAGTTGAAGCCTGGGTTGCCTTGGAGAATCCAAGATGTTCGAGATGCCAGAGTCCTGGGATAGCTGCCAAGGAGAGCTGCTAACGGGGAGTTGAACCAGCTCAAGAGACAGAAGTGTGCTGCAGTCAACAGAGCTGAGCAGAGCTGGAGATCTGAAGAGTGTTTTGACTTCAGACTTAAGAGATGCAGAGTTTAGAATTTGCCCATCTGGTTTTCAGTCTTGCTTTGGTCCAGTATTTCCTCACCAGGCTCCCTTCCCTACATTTTGGATTGGTAATGTATATCCTGTATCATTATATGTTGGAAGTATGTGATTTTTTTTGTTTGTTTTTTGTTTTTTCTGAGGCGGGGATTCTCTGTGGCTGTGCTATTCTTTTTTTTTTTTTTGAGACAGGGTTTCTCTGTATTGTTTTGGACGCTGTCCTGGAACTCGCTCTGTAGACAAGGCTGGCCTCGAACTCACAGAGATCCTCCTGCCTCTGCCTCCCGAGTGCTGGGATTAAAGGCAGATATTCTTTTTTTTTAAGATTTATTTATTTATAGCCGGGCTTGGTGGCACACGCCTTTAATCCCAGCACTCGGGAGGCAGAGGCAGGCAGATCTCTGTGAGTTTGAGGCCAGCCTGGTCTACAGAGCGAGTTCCAGAGCAGCCAAGGTTAGGCAGCGAAGGGAGCCATCAAAAGCAGAGAGTTGGAGAAGGTGTAATTGAATGAGGGGCCGTGTTCCAGGCCCAGCAAACAGCAGAACTTGGCAGCTTCAGCCAAGTGGTCCGGCTTTAGAGTTAAGTATAGAAGAAAGGGGTTGTGGAATTTGCCTCTGAGATGAAGGAAAGTCCCCGAGGCCAGGCATGTGTCAGGGTGTCCCTGAATGAAGGCCTAAAGATGCCATTGCATGCCGGGCGTTGGTGGCGCACGCCATTAATCCCAGCACTCGGGAGGCAGAGGCAGGCGGATCTCTGTGAGTTCGAGGCCAGCCTGCTCTACAAAGTGAGTTCCAGGACAGCCTCCAAAGCTACAGAGAAACCCTGTCTCGAAAAACCAAAAAAAAAAAAAAAAAAAAAGATGCCATTGCATGAAGCTGTGAAGTTGAAGCCTGGGTTGCCTTGGAGAATCCAAGATGTTCGAGATGCCAGAGTCCTGGGATAGCTGCCAAGGAGAGCTGCTAACGGGGAGTTGAACCAGCTCAAGAGACAGAAGTGTGCTGCAGTCAACAGAGCTGAGCAGAGCTGGAGATCTGAAGAGTGTTTTGACTTCAGACTTAAGAGATGCAGAGTTTAGAATTTGCCCATCTGGTTTTCAGTCTTGCTTTGGTCCAGTATTTCCTCACCAGGCTCCCTTCCCTACATTTTGGATTGGTAATGTATATCCTGTATCATTATATGTTGGAAGTATGTGATTTTTTTTGTTTGTTTTTTGTTTTTTCTGAGGCGGGGATTCTCTGTGGCTGTGCTATTCTTTTTTTTTTTTTTGAGACAGGGTTTCTCTGTATTGTTTTGGACGCTGTCCTGGAACTCGCTCTGTAGACAAGGCTGGCCTCGAACTCACAGAGATCCTCCTGCCTCTGCCTCCCGAGTGCTGGGATTAAAGGCAGATATTCTTTTTTTTTAAGATTTATTTATTTATAGCCGGGCTTGGTGGCACACGCCTTTAATCCCAGCACTCGGGAGGCAGAGGCAGGCGGATCTCTGTGAGTTCGAGGCCAGCCTGATCTACAAAGTGAGTTCCAGGACAGTCTCCAAAGCTACAGAGAAACCCTGTCTCGAAAAACCAAAAAAAAAAAAAAAAAAAAGATTTATTTATTTATTACATATACATGCCAGAAGAGGGCACCAGATTGAATTATAGATGGTTGTGAGCCACCATGTGGTTGCTGGGAATTGAACTCAGGACCTCTGGTAGAGCAGTCAGTGCTCTTAACCTCTGAGCCATCTCTCCAGCCCCCCAGATATTCTTTTTTATTTTAATTTTACAGGGGATTACAGTTAAGAGATTGCCTGCCATGAGTCTCAGAAGAGACTTTAGAGTTTGAGACTGTTACAGATGATTGGGACTTTTGTAGTTGGACTGAATGCATTTTTATGTTATGATATGGCTACAAGCCTTTGGGGGCCAGGGAGTGGCTTGAAAGAAAATGCCCCCCAAAGGGAGTGACACTATGAAGTGTGGCTTTGTTGGAGTAGGTATGGCCCTGTTGGAGGAAGTGAGTCACTGTGGGGGTGGGCTTTGAGTTCTTCTATGCTCAAGATACCGCCCAGTGTGTCAGTCAACTTCCTGTTGCCTGTAAGATGTAGGACTCTCAGGTACTTCTTCAGCATCATGTCTGCCTGCACACCGCCACGCTCCCTGACATGATGATAATGAACTGAACCTCTGAACTATACGCAAGCCACTCCAATTAAATGTTTTTCTTATAAAAGTTGCTATGGTCATGGTATCTCTTCACAGCAATAGAACCCAAACTAAGACACCATGTCTTGAAAAAAAATAAAACAATAACAATAGCAAAAAAGGTGATTAGTTAAGTCAGTAGTTTGGGAGATTGCTGTCGTAAATTTTTATTTCATGTTTAGTGCGTGTGTGTGTGTGTGTGTGTGTGTGTGTGTGTGTGTGTGTGTGTGTAGAGGTATATGTATGTGCATGGTCATGAGTATGCCACAATGTACGTGTGGAAGACAGATGACAACTTTTGGGAGTTGTCGCCTTCTACCATATAGGCTGGGAGGCTGGGGTATAGAAGTCAGGTCTTCAGGCTTAGTGGCAAATACCTTTTCATATTGCTGATGACTTTACCAAGACTAGTGTCAGACTTATAATAACCCTCCTGCCTCTGCCTCCCAAGGGCCATTCTCCAGACAGATGATCTGCCCTCCTGTCGGTTAGTTTTTTTGTTTTGTTTTGTTTTTTAATATTTCCAGACAGCAAGTTTATATGTATGCACTGGTGATGGGGGAGGTCCTTCTGTGTATATGTTTGTCCTATTGGTTGATAAATAAAGCACTTTTGGCCAATAGGGAAGCAAGATAGGTGGGACTAGGAGTCGAGAAGGATTCTGGTTTTTTTTGTTTTTTGTTTTGTTTTTTACAAGACTGGGTTTCTCTGTATTGTTTTGGAGTCTGTCCTGGAACTTGCTTTGTAGACCAGGCTGGCCTCGAACTCACAGAGATCCGCCTGCCTCTGCCTCCTGAGTGCTTGGATTAAAGGCATGTGCCACCAATGCCCGGCAAAAGCCCACGTTTAATGGATACAACACTCCCGGTACCAGGTGGCCTTCCAGCCCCCCCAGAGAGGAGACAGGAAAGGGAGACCAGAAAACTGTTCTCTGTGGGACAGTTTAAATACCCTGTGGGAGTGGTCTTGAGTATCTTTGGGGGAGTGGCCATCATTTGGCAGGCTTTCTGAGATACAGCAGGTTTTGGTGGGAGATGGGGAAGAGGGGCTTGGGTGGAACCTCCACCACAACATTCCAGACTCTTTGGGTATGGATGGGGGGAGTTGGGGTGAAGCTTCCACCTTAAAACAAAAACAACAAATTCAGCTGGGTGTGGCAGGCGGAGATAGGTGGACATCTGAGTTTGAGCCAGCCTGGTCTACACAGCTAGTTCAAGCCAGCCTGGGCTATATAACGAAACCCTAGTTTTGTTTATTTTTTTTTTTTAACACACACAGATGCATCTGGATCCACTTTTCTGCTAGTTTTCAGTCAGGGTTTCACTATTCAGCCTTAGCATATATAACGCCAACATAAAATGTCCAGAAGAAGAGGAGGAGGAGGAGGAGGAGGAGGAGGAGGAGGAGGAGGAGGAGGAGGAGGAGGAGGAGAAGAAGAAGAAGAAGAAGAAGAAGAAGAAGAAGAAGAAGAAGAAGAAGAAGAAGAAGAAGAAGAAGAAGAAGGAAAGAAAATAAACTAATTTGTTTTGGATCTAAACTCCTTAACGCCCTCAGAGAAAGGAGTGTTAACTTTAGCAGCCTGAAACCACGCTTTACAATAACAAAAGAACTTCTTGTTAAGCTAAGATTGACTTCCTCACTAAAGGTGCCAGTTTGTGCCCTCACACTTTTCCTGTTGCTCCAGAGTGAGAGTGTGTGGTGCAGTGAATGTGTGTGGTGAGGTGTTTGCTCATTGGAGACTCCAAGGGCATTACCTCATGGGTCTCAGGCCCGGTGACCAAGTGAGGAGAGGGACATGAAGCATGACTCATAGGACTCGCTTCTGCTTTTTGAGAGAGTGATGACAGCTTTTTTTTTTCAAGACAGGGTTCAGCACCACCACCAATGACTGTTGGATTTCTGCTGAAGGTGTTCCCGGCTGCTTTTGTGTACTCGGAAAACGTGCTGATCAGAGCCTACTGCATCAAGGACCCATCTCACAAATATTTTGCTTTGTTGGACTGAAAGAAAAAAAATGCCACAGAATCTTAAAAATGTGGTAGCAGCTTTATAAGGGATTTTGTCCCACCCTCGCAGTACAAAGCTGCATGTACTCAAAGCCCTAGTCTATTTAGAAGGCCTGAAGTGCCGTTCACAGGATGGTGTGTCTGCTGTTGCTCTTTGTTAATTGCATGTGTACAATGGTGCTTTTGTGATCCTGGGAATCTAAACATAGCAGCTTGTCATTCTTTCATTGTTTTTGCTTTAAATAAATAATTCTGTAAAACCAGAAGTAGCGGCCGGGCGTTGGTGGCGCACGCCTTTAATCCCAGAACTCGGGAGGCAGAGGCAGGCAGATCTCTGTAAATTGGAGGCCAGCCTGGTCTACAGAGCGAGTTCCAGGACAGCCTCCAAAGCCACAGAGAAACCCTGTCTCGAAAAAACCAAAAAAAAAAAAAAAAAAAAAAACCAGAAGTAGCAGCGTTGCTTATAGAAATATCATTCTCCCAGCACTTGGGAGGCAGAGGCAGAGATAGAGGCAGAGCTCTGTGAGTTCGAAACCAGCCTTATCTACATGGTATGCTCTGGGGCATCTTACAGTTACAAAGTGAAGTCCTGTCTAAACAAAACAAAACAAACAAAAACAAAAAAATTAGAGAAAAGTCAAATGAGGGTGGGTGCTGGGAGGTGGTAGCACATGCCTTTAATCCGGGCACTCGGGAGGCAGAGGTAGGCAGATAGATCGATCTCTGTGAGTTCGAGGCCAGTCTGGTCTACAAGAGCAAGTTCCAGGACAGCCTTTGAAGCAATACAGAGAAACCCTGTCTCGAAAAACCAAAATAAATAAATAAAATCCTGTCTAAACAAAAAGATATAGAGAAAAGTCAAATGAGGGTGGGTAATAAGATGGCTCAGTAGGTAAAGGTGTTTCTTTACCAAACCTGATTCCCTGGACCCTAGAACCCACATGGTAAAAGGAGATAACATATTCCCTCAAGTTGTCCTAAAAATTCAAAATTCAATGAATAAGTAGGAAGGAAGGAAAGACTGAAAGAATGAAAATAAATCTTGGTTGGATCTAGGGTCTCATCTCCAGCTTTCTTTTTTTGTTTTTCGAGATAGGGTGTGGTGGTTTGAAAGAAAATGGCCCCCAAAGGGAGTAATACTATTAGGAGGTATGACTTTGTTGGAGTACTTATGGCCTCGTTGGAGGAAGTGTATCACTGTGGAGGTCAGCTTTGAGATCTCATATATGCTCAAGTCACTTCCAGTGTCTCAGACCACTTCCTATTGTCTGTGAGTCAAGACACAGGACCCTTAACTACCTCTGCAGCATCGAGTCTGCAGCCTGCATGCTGCCATTTCCACAATAATGATAATGGACCAAACCTCTGAACTCTGAGGAAGCCAGTAAGCAGCTCCGCTCCTTGGCCTCTGCGTCAGCTCCTGCCTCCAGGTTCCCACCCAACTTGAGTTCCTGTTCTGACTTCCTCTGATAATGGCCTATGATCTGAAAATGTAAGCCCCTCTAATGAAATGATTTTCCTTTATAAGAGTTGCCATGGTCCCAGTGTCTGTTCACAGCAACAGAAACCCTTACAAAGATACAGGGTTTCTCTGTGTAGCCCTGACAGTCCTGGAACTTGCTCTACAGACTAGGTTGACCTCAAACTCAGAGATCCAACTGCTTCTGCCTTCTCAGCACTGGGATTAAAGTTATTCACCATCACCTAGCTTATTTTTTTATGTATTTATTTTTTTAAACATGGCTATCATACATATGTCCATGCTTGCCTTGAACTCATTATGTAGCTGAACTCATTATGTAGCCCATGCTTGCCTCTACTTCCAGAGTGCTAAGATTACACCTAAGTGTAAGTATGCCTAGTTTTACCTAAGTGTAAGTATGCCTAGTTTTCTGTGGTACTGGGGAATTAGGCTCAGGGCTATATGCATGGAAGGCAAATACTATATGAGCTGAATTAAATCTCTAGCCCCTGTTCTTGTACTTTTACAGATGACACACATTTTGAGAAAACACACTGAAGTTGGGTGGTGGTGGCACATACCTTTAATTCCCGCATTCGGGAGGCAGAGGCAGGCAGATCTCTGTGTTTGAGGCCAGCCACAACTATGTAGTAACTTCCAGGACAGTCAGGGCTACATAGTAAGACCTTGTCTCAATAAACAAAGTAAACTCCAGTAACAAAATCATAGGCTTGCCAGGTGCAGAAGGGCATGCTTTTAATCTCATTGCTACAGTGAGTTCCAGGACAATATAATCTCAAAATTTAAAAAGATGGAGCCGGGCATTGGTGGCGCTGCAAGCCTTTAATCCCAGCATTCAGGAGGCAGAGGCAGGTGGATCTCTGTGAGTTCAAGGCCAGCCTGGTCTACAGAGCTAGTTCCAGGACAGCCTCCCAAGTCACAGAGGAAACCCTGTCTGGAAAAACAAAAACAAAAACAAAAAAAAAATTAAAAAGATGGGCTCAGCCAGGAGGTGGTGGCACACATCTTTAATCCCAGCACTGGGGAGGTAGAGGTAGGTGGATATCTGCGAGTTCGAGGCCAGCCTGGTCTACAAGCAAGTTCGAGGACAGACACCAAAGCTACAATAAGAAACCCTGTCTTGAAAAACAAAACAAAACAAAAAAACAAAAAACAAAAAAAAGGGAGGGGGAGCTCAAAAAAAGCAAAACCCGAAAGTGTATATTGACTCTATCACTGACAATGATTTTTGCCCCATTCTATGGTATCTATGACTACTTGAGATGCTTAAGAGGTGAATGGTATTCTGATGAGGGGGTTAGGGCTGCCTTTCTGAGTAGGAATGAATTCTGGATTCCAAGGGTATTATCACCTCTTGACCTTGGAACTCGTATAGCAGGCCCAGGTGAAATTAGGTAATAGATTATATATATAATTTATTACTGTGATTTTTTAAAGATTTATTTATTACATATACACCAGATCGAATTGTAGATGGTTGTGAGCCACCATGTGGTTGCTGGGAATTGAACTCAAGACCTCTGGAAGAGCAGTCAGTGCTCTTAACCTCTGAGCCATCTCTCCAGCCCTATTACTGTGATTTAAGGCTTAAATAGACAGGTAGGTCCGCGGATAAATTTACTTTGCTCAGAACTTCGTGCATTTCCAGTGGAGTTCCCTTCTTGGGCTGCGTGCATGCCTGTTTGTCCAGACACAATGTTTTGAATAAAGGTCAACAAGGGAGGTCACCCTCTGGAATGTTTTCTCCTACCGGGAAGGAGGAGGAAGCCTGTGGCCCCTTTTACACCAAGGAGTCTCTGCAAAATCCTGGGCTTCCAACAGCTGCCGATTTCTGCCGGGGAGCTGCAAAAACTTCTGGGGTTGCCATGGTCCATGAGAGCGAAATGCTGGCCACCCTCTGGTCCCGCAGCCCTGAGCCGGCTGCTGCAGCGTCCTCCCCAGTCCCTTTCAAAGGCTTTTCAAGGGGATCCCTACGTGGGGAGGAGCTCGGACGGGACATTAACCTGGGCTTCTGTCCAAACGACTGGGGCGAATAAAAGAGGCTTTTCTTAAACTAATGGGCTACCGCCCTGGGCTAGTCTCAAAGGATTTTTTTTTCTTTTTTAACCCCTCAGTGTTTTCCTGGAGAGCAGGGACGTTCATCCCAAGCTTAGCCGGCACACGGGCATCTATCTCCCTTCCAACTTGAGGCAAACGGATTTCTCACCCTGCTCTGTGCGAGAAAGAAATGAATCTCACACACACACACACACACACACACACACACACACACACACACACACACACACACACACACACACACACACACACACACTCCCCCACTCCACCCCCGCCCCAGCAGCACCCCACCCCATCCCAGCCGCCGGCTGTGGTCAGGTCGACGTGTAGCCATCCGGGGTGACTTGCAAATTCCGGGCCCACTTTGGCTAGGAAAGCGGGAATAGCCTGAAATGCCAAGGCGCCCGCGGCTGCAGGAGGCCTCTCGGTCGGTCTCGGGCATCTCGCTCGACATCGCGGTGGACCGGGGAGGATTTCGGGGCGCGCAGACAAAGGGGCAGCGGGGAGCGCGCGAGCCGCAGCGGCTCGGGCGCTGGGAGGGGCGGCGCGGCGTCTTGTCCCGGCCCCGCGGCGGCAGCGCGTCACGTTCTCTTCCCCGCCCCGAGCCCAAGAGCCGGGGAGGCGGGAGGCGGCGGCCGCGGCGGCTGCTGCTGCTGCTGTGAGGCAGGTGGCGGAGACCCGTGGCGTCTCAGGCGGTGAGCGAAGCGCGGGCCTGTGTTTTCTCTCTCTGTGTCTCCTTCCTCGCCGTCCCACCCTCTCTCTCTCCCTCCGCTCCTTCCCGCCGCTGCGGTCCGGGGGAGGCTGGGAGGGAAGGCTCGCCTCACGCTCCCGCCACGTACCCGGGCCGCGGCGGAGGAGACACGGGCGCACCCGTGAGGGTGGCGGGCGGTGCGGAGACAGCGCCTGTGAGGACGGGCTGGCTGCGAGCCGCGCGCGGTCGGCCCTGTCAGCCGCGGCCCCGGCCTTGCCTTCCTCCCGCCGCCTCAAGATGGAGCGCGGACTCCTTGCCCCTGCGCGGCCGCCTCAGGCGCCGCTCGCTCGCGCTCTCTTCCCCTCTGGCCGCGTACTCTCCTCAGCTCTTGGGGCTGAGTGGGGGGCTCCGGGGACGGCTCTGCCCCTCGTGGAGGCCGCGGGTCCGGTTGGACCTGTTGCCCTGGACGCCGCCACTCGTCACTTGAGCCTTCCTCAGTCAGGCCGGGGACGCCGGGTGCCCGCGAGCCGGCATGGAGGGCGCCCTTGCCGCTGTCGCCTGAGCCGGGCCCCGGTCGGCCCGGCCTCGTCCCTGCTCGTCCCTGGGCTTTTGTTTTCCTTCAGACCCCTTGGATCATGGTTCTCTGAGACGGTGGAAGGGCGACGTGGGGTGCCAGAGCTCTGAAATCACCGCTGCCGGGTAACCCGAACCTGCTCCCGCGGCCGGGCACTGGCGGGAGACAGATGACACTTGTTCGGGGGTGGGGGTGGGGGGCATTTTAAAAGCAGAGCCTTCTGGTTTTCTCTCGAATTTGGAGGTCTTGCGTGATTAGGAGAAGCAACAGAAATACGGGGTTTTGATTCTGGAGTCCAGCCCTGAAATCCTGCAGTCTCTCCACTTGGTGTGGCTTTCCCATCTGGCAGGAACCGCGCACCACCCCCTTCCTCCCTGTCCAGCCCCACCTCTGGGTATGAAGAAATGACACGTTAAGTCTGTAATCGGTGTGGATACTTGTTTTTAGGAGGAACTTG